TATTTCGTGGTGCTCTTTTTGGCTCATGATATTTATAGAAATTGGTTGGATGACGATGCTCGTCGAATTGAATAAAGTTCAGGAAATGGGGATGATGATGTCACAAATGAATTGGAAAAAGGAGCCGGAAGTCTAGACAATTAGAAAAAAAGCATATGGAGGGCAGATATGTGTCATTCAATTAATTGTCAGTTTGAAATATTGAAAATTCCAACAACAACAACTACAGTAATCTAGAATATTTCCGTTTTTGGTATTTATTATATCGACCTTTGTGAATTTCTAGTCAATTTCTTTATCCATAATTTCTAATTTTTTCGACTTCTTCTGGATAAAAATCGAGAAAAAAACTCAGAAATTGTAACTAATTTGAGGTTACTGTAGTTTTCGTTGTGGGACCCTAGGCCACGGCCACCGGCGTTTCTCTTCCACGGCTCCAATTTTTTGGCGCCAGAATAATATACGTGAACTCAGAAAAGATCGCTACTTGACCAGAAAAAAAATCGACGTGGAACAAAAAAAAACGTGAACCGCTTTCATAGGAAGTTAAAAATAATTTTACGTGAACTTTTAAAATTTCACGTGAAGCTAAAAATAACTAGGTGAACGTGAGAAACGTAAATTTAGCGTTTCACGTGAAGACGCGCCGACGGCGCGCCAGATGGTAATCGCTACGTAAAATCGCTAAAAAATAGTTACGTTAAACTGAAAATTGAAACCCTAGGAAAAAAATCCACGTGAAACCAAAAATTGAACGTGAGCGGATTTCTGAGACATTAATTTTTCAAATGAATTTTTAAAATTTTCACGTAAAGCTGAAAATATTTACGTGAACGTGAGAAAATTCACGTAAAATTCCTATTTTACGTGACAATCAATTTTTAACGGGAAAACGCGCCGAAGGCGCGCCAGGTGGTAATAATGGAATTGTCAAATTTCAACCAAATCCTTGAAATTTCAAATTTACGGGACGGGAAAAACCACCCCGAGAGGTGATAAGAAAAGATAAAGCGGCATCTCTCTCTCTCTCCGGGAGGAGGGCGCTGATATGAAAAGAAGAAGAAGAAAAGAAGGGGAGAGTGATTAGGATAATCATATCATCCACACTTTCCTCTTTTCTTTTTCAAACAGAGAGAAAAGAAGCAGAAGTAGATAATACGTGAAGTCTGGAAAAGATAGAGAAGAGATGTGAGAAGAAGCTGAACGAAAAAAATGAATGAGGAGAGAGAGTAGGAGACGCAGAGAAAGAGACACCCAAGTGCGGGTCATCGGAATACGAGAAATTTGTGTTGTGCAAGAGTGAGATGTAGGAGAGGAGGAGGAATGAAAAAGATAGAAACTCTTCGGATTATCAACTTTTTCGCTACTCTTTATCACTACGCAACACTCATCCGTCATTTTGTGACACGCTTTTTTGAAAAATTGTTATTGAGGTGAAAAGTGCACAACAATCAGCACAAGAACATTAGGGGAGTCCCCAGATAAAAATGTAAACATTAAACGTGGCATTTCTAGTCTCAAACCCTACAAATTGCATGCGAAATGCGCTCGATTTGAACTTGAACTAATTACCATATTCCCTGAGGAAACTTTCCTCTAATATAAGTCAACTCAAACCGTCAACTTTGAGCTCGATTATCTCGGTTCTTGTCAAAGATATGAAAAAGTTGTCAACTGATAAAACATTGGTGATATTATTATGAACATTTCATCAGTTGACAGATTTTTTATATCTCTCGTGGAAAAGGAGATAAAGCTCAAAGTTGTCGGTTTGGGTCTTATTAAAATTGAGGGTTTTTAGGTTTTTCAGCAACTTTTCGGATCAATTTTAAGCCTATTATGGAGGTCCCTTTGGACATTTTGGACCAGTCGTTTTCAGGTCATTTAAATTCGTTTTAGGCTGATTTTGAGACAGTTTGGACCATTTTCAGGCCAAATTTAAGCCATTTTGAGTCAATTTTGAAACATTTTGTACTATTTTTAGACCATTTAGGACTGTTTTTATGGTCAATTTCAAGCAATTTTAAGCAATTTCCGGACCAATTTTTACTATATTAGGTAAATTTTAAGTAATTTTAGGCAACTTTTAGGCGAATTTTAAGCTACTTTGGAACGGTAGTTTTGGCCAGTTTAAAGCCGTTCTGACCATTTCAGGCTGATTCTGAGCTATAATAGGACATCTTTGGACCAAACTGGATGAGTTTCTAATGGAGGAAATGAAATGTGAAACAAAATTTCAGTGAAAAATAATTTCTACGGAGAAAAGTCAGTTTACAAGTCGAAAAACCATTAACTTAATAAGAAAAAAAGACGATCGATTCTTCTAAATCTTGGCCTAATCCGTTGGGGACACCTCCTTTTATTCTCCCCCTCGGAGCCCCCCGATCCTTCCCCATTTTTTCGTAAACATTCCTCTTGTCACTGATAATCCCACTAATTTGTCGGCTTCGAACAACAACTTTTCATCCAATTTGTTGTCTCATTAAAGGATCAACTCGACACACACGGGATAGATAATGAAGATGATGACAAGCAGAAGAATAGGGATGAGATCAGGAGGAAATGAGGGAGGGGATTGACTCATTTTATATGGGATTTAGAGAACGAAAAAGAGAAAAGGTTTTCGAGTTTTTGGTCTTGTGAGAAATGTGAAAAAAAATTGGTAAAAACAACGGAAAATTGAAGAAAAAAGTACTGGTAATCAAGTTTTTTGAATTTGGCGCCAAAATCCGTTTGTTTCAAAGGAAAGAAAGTAGTTTTTTAAAGCCTGAACCTATAATTTCAACAACAAAAAAAAACCAAAAAATGTAAAAACAATTCCAGCGAAAAATATAAAAATTTCGCTAATTTTCACGAATTTCGGTACTTTTTTGACTGGAATTTTTTACATAATTCTTTACAATATTTTGTTTAAAATTATAGGCTCAAACGCTCTGTTTCACTTTTACTGGATCATCCGAAAAATGGCGCCAAATTCAAAAATTTAAAAAAAAATTTTTTTTCAGATTCTTGAATAAAAAATTTTGAAAAATAAGCGAAATTTCTACTGATTATCACGAATTTCAGCACTTTTTCGAAAAAAAAATTAGCTAAAAAAGTACTGTAGTTCGTGAAAATCGGCGAAGTGTTCACATTTTTTTTTGCTGTAAGACTAAAATATGAAACAAAACCTAGAACATTCTGAAAAAAATTTCAGTGAAGAAAGTTAGAATTTCGCCGATTTTTGTGAATTTCAGTACTTTTTTACTGGAATTTTTTTCAGAATATTTCGTTTTTTGTTTCATATTTTTGGCTTTGACTAAACCGCCTTTTTATTGTCCATAAGAAAAGCCAAAAATAGCTTAAAATTCGAAAATTTGGGTGAAAAAACTTCTGGAAGTTTCAAAAAAATGAAAACTGAGGTATTGGATAAATCCCGGTTTTTTTAAAATATAAGAATTGAATAAAAATCTAAAAAAGAACAATTTTTAATAGTTTGAAATTTGTGACTTTTTGTGGATTTTTACTGTTAGAAGTGGCAATTTTCAGAAAATTTTAAACAACTAGAACTGTAAAAAATATTCCATCAAAATTTTGAAAAGAAAGAATATCAAAACGAAAACTGAGTTTTGTGCCAAAACAAAGAAGGGAATTAAAATGGAAAAATCGTCGCAAAAGGTGGGAGAATTGACGCCTCTTCTTCTTTTCCCGAGGTAATGTTGGTTTTCGAGACCAGTATCAAATACGATTCGACCGATGCGAAAACGACGGGCTAATGATGAAAGAGAGAGTGCCCAAATAGAGAGGGTGGGCGAGAGAAACGAGTGGAAAAAGACAGTTCAATCGGTAGAGAGTGCGGGAGACGAAGAGACGCAGGTGTGGTGCAGAACGAGACACGCACCACGTTCGGCTTCGAATTCGGACAATGATCGATCGATTTTTGGAGCGAGAAGGAGGAGACGGACGAAGCGCGTAACGACGGACGGTACGAAGGACATCGTCTGAGAAAGAGGAGGAAAAAAGGAACAGAGGAGACGGGTTAATTTACTCGGCATTCATTCAAAAAGTACATTTTATGAGTAGTGGAACGGGAGAAGAAGAGGAAGAAAAGTAATTATTTTGCGACTGAAGAGAAGAAGAAACTAATTGTTTTTTTTCTATCTCTCTCTCTACGTTCCCATTTTCCGGCCGTCAGCGTTTTTTCTTTTCTTGTGTCTTCTTTTCAGAAGTTTTCCTATTAGCATAAAGAGGAAAAGGGCACATGAATTTTTCATATTCCGGAGAAAAAAAAAAAGAAAAAATCCATTTGTGTAATTGAGTTTCTGCAAACAATGAATGAGAGAAAAAGCGAAAAAATCGAGAACTATTTACTGTAGCAAATAATTAAAGGCGCATAGTCAAAAATTATCCGGAGTTTCGCAGCGAAAACCGTACTTTAAAGGCGCATGGGTGAACATTGTCTCTTGCTTCTCACCACGAAAATGTATTTTTTTTTACTTTTTTTCAAAATTTTTCGATTTTTCGCTGAAATTTCGAATAATTCAAGTAAATTCAATTAAAAATCAAAAAATAGCTCATTCCATATTTATTACAAGAAAAAATCGAAAACTACAGTAGCAATTGAAGGAGCAGGGACAGAAATTTTTCAGAGTCTCGCAATGAATACCGAAAGCCTAAAGGCGCAACTATGGAAAATTGTCTCTCGCTTCTCACCACGAAAGCTTTTTTGAAAAAATTTAACGGGCAAAATATATTTTTCAGGATTTTTCACTAAAATTTCGAATAAATCTAGTAAAAATGACATTGAAACGCAGGCGAAAATCCCATTAGTAACTCAAAAGTGACCGATGGGAAAACGAAAAATGACAGGTCCTGCAAACATTCGTCGTCTCTCGCTCTCTCTGTTACTTATAATGCTTTCCATACGATTCTTCTCTTTTTTGACAAATCCCATCCATCCGCCCTTTCAGCTTTTTTTTCAGTTTTTTAGACACCAAAAATAGAAGACGTGAGCAAGACATTTATAGCTAGAAAAGTGCACATTTCAGAAAAGAGAAAGCGCACACGTGTCGTCGTCGAAAACGACATTCCCGTCCTGCTAAATCCATCTATTTTTGGAGGTCAGCAGTATGAGGAATTTCCTCTTTTGGGATTAATCGTCAAAAATAGAAGAGTGTGGTGTCAAAAATGCTATTTTATCTAGGAGAAGAAAAATGAAAACACGAAGAGCAGTGGCATTTCGTGAGAGATGCCTATCAAAAAAAAATATGGGGTGGTGGTGCTGTGGAGCACAATTTATGAGGAATGGGAAACGAACCATTGGGGAAATTATATGAGAAATTTATGAGCTTTTTCGCCCAGATTTGATGAGAACCCAAAAATTAACACCTTTCGTCGCTTCTCTCTCAATTTTCTTTGCAAAAGGAAACTGATTTTTTTCCTCTACAACACGGAAACATGACGGAATCGTTGAGCATGCTCAGCTACTCTCGGAACACACGCATTATTGCATTGCATCGGTATCTGGTGGCGGGAGACTCGAGCAAACAAAGGAGCGGCGACGCGACGCGTTTTCAAAGATTAGAACGCGCGGGCCGAGAGAATCGCCGAACCGATTTTGAACATGGAGAACATGCACACAATAACTACTGGGCAAGAAGAAGGATGGGTTGGTGATGAAAAGGAAATAAGAAAAGAAGAAGACAGACACGTTATTGAGGAGCAGTCGTCAACCACACATTTGAGAGGGGTTGTGTGTTGATTTATTTGGAAAAAAAAGGACAAAATTGTGTCTTTTTTGGCAAAAAAGTACCTATTTTTTGTAAAAACCGTTACCGTATGCATCGAAATTTAAAGGCGCAGCTACATAATTTGTCATTTGAGTCTCGCCACGAAAACATTTAAAGGAACAGCTATTCAATTTGTTATTCGAGTCTCGCAAAAACAGAAAACAAATTAAATATTGTAAAATTGATAGAATATTCTTGTGCAAATGATCAGCGAATCTCCCAGAGTGCGACACAAAAAAAACTAAACGGAAACACATTGAGAACATCTGGTGGACAGACGGAAGACGAAAAACCGATATATTGAATCTGTTCAGAGGGAGAAAACGAAAGGAAAAATGAAAAGAAATGATTTCTTATTCATGAGAGAACCTTTTCGTGTCAGAACCTGTGTGACAAATAGTATTAAAAAGCTTGAAACATGACACGATTTTCGAAACTATTCCAAATAAAAGGATTTTTGATGTGTTTATAACGTATCTAACATGAAAAATTCTCGAAAATTATTATGATGGAAAGGGAAAAACAGTGAAAATAACAAAATTTAAAGCAGAATCTCAGATCTAATAATTGCCTTCTTGGTAGTGATGACTCGACGTGGTGGCAGTGTAGACACGTGGAACTGACGGCTGCTTCTGCACCTCATCTTCCTCTACGAAGACGTCATCGTCGTCTCCAGCGGCTTCTGGCATCAGCACCATCATCCCATTCTCATGATGCGTGCCATTTTCATACTGATTGCCGCGGTGACGATGATTGTTGATTCGTCCTTTGGTTCGGTACTGGAAAAATAGATTTTTAAGGTTGAAATTTTTGTCAGGAGAAAGAAAATTACATAATTGAGCTCCCGAGAAGCTGCCAATCTGAATTCCACGGCTTTCTGAGTCTCCGTCGGATGTTCATGACCAATATGCCCAAAGCACGCGACCACTTCCAGTTGTCCATGGTTCCTAAGACAGCATTTGATGAATGCTGGACATTGCTCAGATTTCGTTTTGGTTTGTCCCCGAGAATTCGAGCATAGACACTTGTAAAGGGTGGTTCGAACCGCGAAAATCACTTTTTGAGAGGTCCGGAGGAAGAATTCAGATGACGTTTTGATTTCCATGTCTTTTTTCCACTTCTGAGAAAAATTGGGGCCAGTTTCAAGCTAAATTCATCAGAACTCACCAAAAAGCTAGTTTTATCTGGAAACGTCTTTCTTCTTATCATGAAAACCTTGCCATCAGTCACCATATCTCTATGGAAACTATCCACGTGGACTGCCAACTCCAAATAGGTCCCGAATCTACAAAAATAGGTAAAAAAGTTATTTCAAAAGTGGTGCTTACTGTGCAGCACATCCATAAGTGGGGCAGACTATATTACTAGCTGAGGTTAGAGTACTGTCATTTGATTGTGCTAGAAGTCTACCACAAGTGCTCCCATCCTTATTTAAATGACTTTTTAGGCCGGTCTTGGTGACAAATTCCATTTCGCAAGTTGTGCAAGCATGTAGGGAGCGCATTTTGGGCTGAAAACATTAAAAACTAGTTTCAAAACTCTAATTTTTAAATTGTTTACACTTGGTTTCCCTTTATGAGACTCTAATCGCTTCTGCTGCTTCATCACCTCACACTGTTGCTTGGTAAAGCCGTGATGATCGAATAGGTGGTTGTAGAATCGCTTGTTTCGCAAATCTTCTTTGCAAAAATAGCACATTGAGCTGAACTTTGTCATTTTTAATTGATAAATTTAATTTTAAAGCTTACTGATCCTGATTGGCTGCGTCGATACTCTCCTGAGTGTAATAACTTCCACCCATCACATAGCACGGTACTTCTGCTTCCTCTTCATCTTGTACGATCGTTCCCGGGTCTTCAGCGTACTCGTAAATGATCTAAAAATATTTTTATGTTGTCGTCACTGAAAAAAAAAGTCGATAAATTCTCACCTCTTCTTCGACTTGCCCAGTTTCATAGACATGTTGATCGATTTCGGCATCATCGATATTACCTTGTTTATACGGATTCTCCATGTTGAATAACTTTTTAACCGAGAAAAACGGTCGCAAAAAATTTATTGGAAAAAGTTCGTAAATCGACACAAAAACAACGATGCTCCGAAATCCCGGTAGCGCCCGTTGTTTAGCAGCCGACTCCGCCCCTCAGCAATTTGTTTCGGCGAAACGCACGAAAGTGAAGGGTTTTGATTTTTCCGACGATTTATTGACTTTTTGGCAATTCGAAATTTTACAAGATCGGAAAGAAAAATTTTAATTGATTTTTGAAGCTATAAATAGTCGAAATTCTCTAATTTTCAGACAAATGACCGAGCTGGACGAAGCCGTTCTGCTGGGTGAGGCTACCGATCAACACGATGGCCCGATTGATGAAAATGAGTTGCTAGACGAGTAAGTAAATTGATTTTAAAATAATTTTCCGAAAATTTTGATAAAAATGCTAATTTTTGCCACAGGAAAGTGCTGAAAGAGGAGGATCCGGATGATTTGTACGAGGAGGCGATAGCGCCGACCAGCCATCAGGTAAATAAGATTTTTGACCCTTCAAATTCTAAATTTTAATTTTAATTCAATTTTAGGAGGAACCTGCTAAGCTAGTAGACTCTCCAGTCGCCGTAACTGCTCCAGTGGTTGCCACGAAGCCAGCAGCCGCCCCGGAAGGCAGAAAGTACTGTTGCTATATTGGAAATCTTCTCTGGTACACCACAGATGCTGATTTATTGGTAACTTGAAATGCTCAAAATTTTAGACCCCAAAAATTTCGATTTTTTAGAAAGCCATCGCCTCTACAGGCCTCTCCCGCTCCCAGTTCGCCGATATGAAGTTTTTCGAGAATCGAACTAATGGACAGAGTAAGGGATATGCGTTGTTGGTGTTGAATTCGGATGCTGGTAAGAATTGAAATCAGATCTTTTTCAATTTTAAAATTTGTTCCAGCTGTCAAGCAGATCATGGAGACGCTTCCATCAAAGCCAATACACGGTCAAAGTCCAACAGTTCTCGCCTATAATAAGACAAATCAGGCGAAGCTGGAAGAGGTTCAAGCTAAGAATCAAACTAGGCCAGATGTGAAGAAGAAGGTACGAATCGTGAAACCTGTATTAGAAGGGCCGGTCTTTCTATTTTTTCCAAGCGTCTATTAGAGGGCCCTTCTATTATAGGGGGTGCTTCTATTTTTCCAAATCCCTCTCGCAGGACCCTTCTATTAGAGGTTTGACAGTAAATTGTTCGAAACTAATGCGCGCGCACACTTCTCTAGTCGCCCGGCCTCTCTCTGCGTCTCCCCCCACAGCTGCCGCGATATATACGACATGTGGCGTCTTGACTAGGTTGTGTGCAGTAGCGCAGGTGGTTGCGTTGTTGTCTGCCAGTCGTCGGGTCGCCTACTCGCGAGTTCGACTCCCGGCCGCGCCTTTGAAACTCAGCGGTGTTTTGTATTAATGATCATTAGCTGGTAGCAGGTGCAATAGCGTTTCGGAGTCTTACCGGCGTTCACCTTCCAAAGGGTGTGCGTTAAAAGTTCATCCGAACAGTTTTTGCTTTTTCTTTTCTTTTATAGAATTCATAGCCTCTTGCTAAAATGTAATGCTAAAATGTATTTTTTCAGACCTTCGAAGATGGATGCGTCAACATGGGAACAATCCGAATTGGAACTGGAAGCCAAGGAAGATCAGGCTCAACCTCTACCTCTGGAAGATCGGGTCCACCACCACTCATGATGCAACAAGTGCGCCCAACGCCACTGATGAGCCAACAAATGACTCAACAAGTCCCACAGATGTCCAATCAAATTCCCCAAATGCGACTTCAAATCAATGGCCAGCCGGTTCCGATGGTCAATCAACGGGCTCAAATTCCACAGCAGGGGCTAATGGGAACGGCGCCAATGGGTGGTATTACACAGCAGATGCAACCACAGCAACCGATGATGATGCCTCAACAGACACAAATCCGTCCGGCGATGATGCAGCCAACAATGGGTGTTCAGCCAATGATGAATATGGCCGCACCGCCACCAATGGCTAATCAGTTTGCCAATAGGTAAGTCTCTTTGTCTTTGGTCTCTGACGGAAGATTACTGTAGAAACCTGATTTCCTTTTTCAATTTTTTTTGAAAACACAATCAGGTCAAAATGCAGAGTAACCTACAGTAGTCCTCACGAACACCATTCCATCAAATTTCAGACAAAAGATCCAGAAAAATCGAAAAAGGGTCTCGGAAAATAGCTGAAAACCTGAAAAAGTCTGAAAATTTTGCGAAAAATTTTAGAAAAAAAATGCAAATGTCCTTCGAAAAATTGCAAAGAAATCGCTGATTTTTCGGAGTTTCCAGTTTTTGGCGGGGATACAGAAAAAGATTCAGGAGTTATTTCAAAATTCCTACTTTTTGCCGATTTTTGAAAAACCCTCTGTTTTGTCCGTTTTCAGTACAAAATGAAGGGGTCATTCAGAAATTAACAAATAGCTGAAAAACTAGGAATTTTCAAAAAATTCTGTGAACCCCAAATTTTCAATCTAGATCTGTTTTTCTCCCTCCGAAGTTTTCAAAATGATCGAAACCTTGACAGCCGAGCACCAGACTTCTGAAAATGGTTCAAATGACCGAAAATCAACTAAAAAGTGTTCTAATTCTAATGCCCCGATAGTTCCAGACCACCACAAATCGCTCCGATGGGTGTAGGCGTTCAGCCGCTTATGCAAATGAACACAGCGATGCGACCACCAGTCAACGGTCTTCCACCGGTTCATGTGAATCCTCAGGTACCCTGTCAACCTAATACAAGTTCATAACCCTTTTAAAAAAGATGCAGATGTTCCCTGGAATCCAAGGACCAAGTCTATCAGAAGCCGAGTTTGAAGACGTCATGAATCGCAATCAGACAGTTTCATCGTCGGCTATAGCTCGAGCTATCACCGATGCTTCTGTTGGAGATGTTAAAGGCGCATCGGAAACGCTTCTCACTGCTATTGCGTTGATCAAGAATAGCAGAATAGGTCACGATGAGCGGTGCAGACAGTTGATTTATGGATTGGAGCACACTTTGAAGGGACTGGAATCCAAGGGATACTCCTCAAGATCCTCCAAATCGCATCGTGACAGATCCAGAAGCCGTGAGAGAGATCGCAAGAGAAGAAGACGCAGTCGCACTCGCTCTCGCTCATACTCTCGCTCCCCATCGCCACGCCGTCGTCGTTACTAGACAAAGCATGTCTATTCTCATCTTGTTTTAATTTTCGATAATTTGGTAATATCCTTTTTATTTTTTTCTGCTAATTTCGATAATTTCAGCTTCCAGTTACTCCCCTCACTCTCTCCCTCTCTATTTTCTACTGGTTTTCTTCGGTTTCTCAATGATTCTACACGGGATTCATTTCCAACTTGTCATATTCAAAGTGAGTTCAAAAAAATTGATTCTGGGTTTGCAGGTATCTGGAGAATTATTTTTTAATTTTTGTGTCACCAATGTTTCATTCAAATTGTATATATCGAATTTTAGATGTTTCTCTAGAATGTTCTAGACTGGATTGTGGTCTAATTTATGGTTTTGATTTTCAAAATTATTTTGGCTGTAAGCATAGTTCCAAATTCTTTCTAATTTAATTGTTGTTTGGGCTAATTTTAGTGTAGTTAACGATGTTATCGAATTCAATTGTTTTTTGATGGTTTCAAAATATGTGTCTCGGGCTTCAAGATAATATAAAACCTGTGTCCGTCCTTTCCATTTTCTGTACGGGTAGTTTATTAAAACCTTGTTCTTTTAGACGGTTCTAAATTTAATCTTTAAAATTAGAATTTTAGGTTTTTTTCTGGGGTTTTTTTTCAAATGTTTTAGACTGGATTGTGGTCTAATTTATGGTATTAATTTTCACAAAATTTTCATTACTTTCAACGAAATCTTGTATATATTCCTAACCCGTTCAAAATAATTCTACATCTCAATGTAAACGCCAAATTGATTTGGTAATCCTGTATCTTCGATATACTATTTTATATAGGTCATTTGTTATCCAATATCCCTAATACCGCGTCCAAAGCTCACAAATCTGGGAATTCTGGACCCAGGAAGAATTCCAAAGTGACGACCTAACCCTCATGATTTCCAATTCGCTTTCTGTGCCCAGAAATAACAGATTTAGGGACTTTGAACGCTACATTAGACCTTATTATTTCCTCGGAGTTTGAGATATCCCGTTTCAACTGTGTGTCCGTCATTCATTTTATTTTGTACGGGTAGTTTGTTCAAATATTAGATGTTTCTAGGAATGTTCCAGACCGGATTGTGGTCTTATTCCCAATTTTTTTTTCGAAAATTTCCATTATTTTCAACGAAATTTGTATATTTCTAGCCCTGTATCTTTGAGTAGATATTCTCTAATTAAGTCATTTTTAACCCTACATCCCTAAAACTAGATTAATTATGTTCCCGAAATAATAAAGAACCACTCTGACCCCCTGATTATTTCTGTTTTTTTTCATTATTTTCAATTTTTAAATCAATTCTTCAATTGTAATTTTTCTAACAGGGCAAGTCTTCATCAACACATCGCCACGTGGCACATCGTCTCTCCTGAAGAATCATCTGGAAAATCGAAGAAATCATATTCCTCTACCCCCCTCTCCATACACACTCTCTCAAAAGAACACTGTTTTTTCTTTTCGATCTGTCAATTTTTTACAATTTTTTGGAAGTTTCAAAATTTGCGCTTTTTTCTTTCATTTATTCAAAATTCTTAAAGTGTTTATGAATCTTTTGTGTTGAGTTTGTCGAGTATAGATTTTTTTCGAGTATGTGACTCCCGGTAAGCCCTTTTTTGTATATTTTTTCTATTTATTCCCCAAATATTCATTTGTGAATGCTTCTTCTCCCCCTTTAAACTGCAAAATTTCTATTTTTCAGATTTCAAATAATTTTAAAAGTATAAAAATCGATTTTTTTTCAGACTCAGCCGGGTGCTCATTCTCTCCCTCTCACTGCTCACAACACCAATCGATTCGTGTACAAAACTTGCTACTATGTCATTTTAATATTCTTTCTTTATTTAATAAAATTGAATTGTTTAGCACCTCGTTTTTAGTTTAGAAGTCGAACTAGTCGACTAAATGAGTATCTCTTTTCAGTTTTTTTGTTTTTTTTTCAAATTTTTAGAGTTCAGAATGCCATCATCAGAAGATAAAGGATCGGTGGTTCGATGGTTGGTGTGTGGAGCGACGGCTGGATTGGCTGTGGATATTGGATTGTATCCATTGGATACCATCAAATCCAGAATGCAATCGAAACAGGGTTTTATTGCGGCTGGAGGGTTTAAAGACGTTTATAGGTGTGTGGGTGGGTGACACGTGGCAAAAAAGCGGTGGTCGCTGAAGGACGGTCTCAAAACGACAACTACTCAAGTTATAATGTTCATTTTCTCAATTTTCCTGAATTTTCAGTCATTTTTTCCCATATTATTTTTGTCCGGCAGCAATGCATCTTGCGGATGAAAATTTATTTAAAGGCGCATCGTCGTTTTGCACCGTTAAATTTCATGCGCCTTTAAAAATCCTCGTTTTTTTTGGAAATATGTATTTAAAGCGTATTTTTTTCGATTTGTCGAATGTTTTCGTCATTTTTTTTCCGAAGAAAATAGCAAAAAATTGAAAATAAACGATGAAAATCGTCCAAGAAGCTATTAAAAGCATCACAAACCTTCTAAATTATCAAAAGTTTATTATTTTTAGCTTTTTTTTCTCGATTTTTCATAATTTCCACAGCTTTTTGGATGGTTTTTATCGTATTCAGCCAAACTTTTGCTATTTCCATTGAAAAAAATTGACAAATTTTTTAACCCTTTCCTTCTCGATTTGTCGTATGTTTTCATAGTCTCCTTTTACGAATATAGTTAAAAATAGGCATGAAATTATTAAAAACGTTTAAAATGCTATGAAAGTTGTCAAAAATCGAGAAGAATGGGCTAAAAATATATACTCTCAAAAAAACTAGACGCTTTAAAGGCGCATAGAATTCAACGGCACGAGACGATGATGCGGATCGAAATGAAAATTCGTTCGTAAGGTTCATCGCCGCCGGACAAGAATTGTGCCATTTTGATACAAAAAAAACAAAAAGATAGAAAAAACGCTGGCGACCGTGGCTGAAGGTCCCGTAACGACAATTACCGTAACCCGAAATTAATTCAGCATTTTTTTTCTCGTCTTTTTCAGATTTCCGTCGGTCGGAAAATTATCATTTGAATATCGAAAAAGGTGATTGAAAACGCACGAAAAACGAGATAAAAATCCTGAAAATGAAAATAATTGGTAGGTTACGGTAGTTGTCGTTGTGGGACCTTAATAGCGTCACCAGTATTCCCCTACAGTTATCATAAACCCATTTTTCCAGAGGAATGAGCTCGGTATTAGTTGGCTCAGCACCGGGCGCCGCCATCTTCTTCCTCACCTACAAATACATCAACGGACAAATGAAACGAATCATCAAGGGACGAGACGCACTAGTCGACGCAGTTTCAGCGAGTTTGGCTGAAATCGCCGCGTGCGCCGTCCGTGTCCCAACGGAATTGTGTAAGCAGAGAGGACAAGTGAACAAGGGAACACGGCTGACGTTGATTTGTAAAGAAATTATGGAGACGAAAGGGTTGAAAGGGTTCTATCAAGGATATGGGAGTACGGTAGCCAGGGAGATTCCATTCTCGATTATTCAGTTTCCGATATGGGAAGCGTTGAAGAGGAAGGTGGCTGAGAATAAAGAATCCGGTCGATGTAGTCCGTTGGAAGGAGCCGCCTGTGGAAGTGTAGCTGGATGTATTGCAGCTGGATTGACTACACCTCTCGACGTGGCAAAAACAAGAATCATGCTTACGAAAACCGGTCCAGCTCCTGGTATTTTAAGCACATTAAAAGAGGCATTGCAGCAATATTTGAAAATTACTATTTTTTTCTCATTTTCCAGGTCTACACAACTGGCGGGATGGGCGGTCTCTACTCGGGCGTCGTGCCACGTGTCATGTGGATCTCTGGCGGCGGATTCGTCTTCTTTGGTGCTTATGAAACGGCGATGCATTTTACCAAATTTTTAGATTAGTATTCCATTTTTTGATAGAATCTCATTCTGTAGTTTTGCTTTGTTTTTTATGATTTTTCGATTGTTTCTTGTTGCCAAAGATGTTTTTCAAATGAATATAGTAATAATGATTTTTTGAAACAATGGAAGTTTACAAACAGACGGATATAAGATGAAATGGTCATTTGTCCAGCCATGAATAGTTCTAAAAAACTGAAAAGGGAATGTCATCGATTATAGAAATAACAGTGGCTACCTGCAACACTCGCGGAAACTCGAGAAAATTCGATCTGAAAATGTGAGAGTCTTTGAGTGAATGTGTCTCGGTTCTTGTGAGAGATATCAAAAAACGGTTAAGAGCAAAAATGTTTGTCTTAAAACCAGCAACATTTCATTAGTTGTCCACTTTTTGATATCTGAAACAGGAAACGAGATAATTGAGGTTAAAGGGAGGGTATCTTTAAGGGGTTACAAAGATCTCAAAGGTGAAAATTCAGGTGCTATTTGAACGTGACGAAAAATATTTTTTTGAAAAGTTTAAATTCTAGATCAAGAAAACTACGTGAATTGGTTTAGAAACCCACGACTCTAAATAGCCCATTGACCTCAGTGAGAATACTATAAAAGAAGAGAGAAATGGAGGGAAGAATCAGTTCTTCCCTTCTCTTGGTTCTAGAGAAGGGAGCTCGGAGAAGGGATCCGGGGGTTCTGGACTCCAGAGATCCCGGAATCCGGGGGGCCTTGGGCCTTGGGCCTTTGGCCTTGGGCCTTTGGCCTTGGGCCTTTGGCCTTGGGTCTTTGGCCTTGGGTCTTTGGCCTTGGGTCTTTGGCCTTGGGTCTTTGGCCTGGGGCCTGGGGCCTGGGGCATTGGATCACCTGAATCAAATACTATGTATCCATTGCCATCAATTTTCGTCGATTTCTGACTCGGGGTTAGATAATATTAGTAATTCTCCTTCGCTGGTGACTCCAAAAGAATTGTGGAGTATTTTCATGTCTAGTTCCAATTTTGATGATCGTTGGTTTTGCTGTTTTAGGAATCGTTTAAAGTTTTTGGAGCAGAAAGAGGCAGTCACTCTGAAATTCAGATTCAATTAAAATTATCAGATCACGAATTTTTGAATTTTAACATAAATGTGTACTAACAGCCTAAACGAAAATTCGAATATATGGGTCGAAAAAGAGTTATATAATACCGTAAAAACTTTATTAGATAGCCATGGCACTCTATTGTTCGAAGGTGGTCTGGGGTGGCACTGTATTAGGGGGTGGCATTCAATTAGAGGCTGGCACTTTATTGTTCGGAGCCGATTTCTACTGAAACTGATCACGGAAGGACTCGATTGTCAACGTTTTCATAAAATGACTGTCGAGGTTTTCTTGATTTTTCTACTTTTTAAAGAGATTTTCGGAGTCTGATGTTATCCTGAAACATTTTTTACAAATACAGTACCTCTTTTAAGCTTTAAAAAAAGCTAGAAAATCCGAATTTTTTTGTGTTATTCTTCAACTTTTACCACAGTGGCATCCAGGCATCCGTGGCACTATTTTAGGAGGTGGCACTCGTTTGTTCGGAGGTGCTCTAGGGTGGCACTATATTAGAGGCTGGCATTCAATTAGGGGTGGCTATCTAATAGAGTTTTTACTGTAGCTTACATTTCTTTTGGCTCCAGTAAACTGGAGACTTCTGAGAGCACGACGAATGGAGTACGTAGTATTGGAAACGGTATTGGAAGGAGTTAATGAACTGGTCGGAGGAAGAAGGATGGTGGACCAGCTAAACGGTGGCAGGCAGAGGATGGAGAAGCTAATGCACCTAAAGAACACACAATTGCTCATGGGAAGGTCACTCCTTCCAACGCGATCTGGATCTTGTTCTTATTTGCTGTCAAGGACAAAGTAGCGTATTCGGTTTACGCCTCTTTGGAATTGAATCTCCTTACGGTACCCGAAATCTCATAAAAAAGGTTTCGTCCTTTTTTCAGGAACTATTGTTTGCAAGCTCTGAGATATGGAGACAAAAGCTGCGGTTCCTAGATGTTAAATCTATTCGTTTACACGATAGATGACGTCACGATCAATACAGTAGCATCTTTTCTAAACGCGCTCTGCCGCACCTATTCAAATGGTCCACTCCACCTCCTACTAACCCTGTCTCATTTTCTATTTTCCAAACCAACTAAAGTCGATTTCGACAAACATGCCTATAGCATTATCCAAACTCCCATGGGACCTCCAGGGTCTGATTCTAAAAGAAATGAAGAGTTATCATGACATATTCATGATATCTTTATGTTCACAAAAAGTCAAATCAGTGATTCGTTCGGTGAACTGGAATGAACCAGCATTGGAATACCTTCTTCTGGGAACCAAATTTCAAGTGAAAATTGGAGAAAAACATGATTTACAAAATTTGATTATATGTAATCAAGTCAAAAAATTTAACAGATCATCGAAGCAAAAACTGTTTATTGGAGATGTGAAGTTGAGATGCGGGTTGGTTTTTTCATAAATAAAAAAGATTTCCAACTGAAAATATTTCAGACTTCGCAAGAGCTACCGCCCTAACAGAGGTGCTTTTCACTACATTAAAATCAAGGAGTCATTCAAGAAATCATTCGTCTCTGCCGTCCAGAATCATGCGAACTATCTGTTTCGGAATTTTTCAAACATCGATTTGCGATATCAAATGGAAGAAGACATAGAATCTCTCCCAGTGATCCCAGGCATTAAAAATGCAGAGATCATCTCAAATCCAGAAGACAAGAAGGCAATAAGTACGGAATGTCTTGATAAGTTTTTTCGATCAAATCCCAACCAGATCAGTGCATCAATTGAACTAGAGATAACTAGTGTTTTGAATCAAAATTCATCATTATTCGGTCTTCAAAATATAATGATTGCTCATGCAAGAGAACACTGCTCAACACTTCTTTGGAACTTCAATGGACAAAATGCTTTGTTTTTTGATTCAACATTGAAGAATGATGACATTATTCGATTTCTGAGAGGGTGGATGTCAGGAAATGCATATCAAAATGTGGAAAATGTTCTTATCGAGAAGAACAATTATAATGAAAATCCAAATGAAGTTCTCATGACAATTGAATCCACCGAATATGATATTGAAACAAGACCAAAAGAATATTTTTTCGATCCAAGGTGAGTGAAAACTATATGTATTTGGGATTAGTATCAATTAGGTTGAAAAGGGAAAATCGATTGACAACCAAAAGTTTATTACTTTTACCTATTGTAGTAGTAGTTGAAAATGATCTACTTCAAACGTCATAAGACATAGTAGATTTTATTGAATAGGACTGAAAATTAAGAAATGTGATAAACATAAATAAAACTTCAATTTTATAGCTGACAACTTTTTTGTACAAATTCATCCGAATGAGATGATTCGCTTGAAATCAATCAAATGCCAAAACTTCCAATTATACTCTCCAGTGGTGTATCTATCTTGGGCGAATCGAAAAAAGTTGTCGTTTACAAAAATTAAGCTCATATTTTTGTTTAGTAAACCCGGAAATTTTCAGTTTTATTCAATGAAGTCTATTATTATTCTAATACATTTTTTAAAGCAAAAATTGTTTATTCATTTAAATCTCCGAGTTTTGACTCTATTTCTCAACTTCCGCAGTTTCTTAATCCTGAATTTTCAAAGACCTGAAAATCGGAATTGATAAATTACAGGAGTTCTGACTCAGAATGTTGAAAATTCAGAAGCTCAGAAATGCTGAAGAATTTGGAGATTTTGATTATATACACTTTTTGGAATTTAAAAATCAAAGCTTTCCTTTTTACTAATCTTTGAATTCCCAAATGTACTACTTTTGGGATTTTTCTATTTCTGACTTTTGAATTTTGAATACCTTAACTTTCGAAACGATTGATTTTTAATTTACCAAAGTTCTGAGTTTGGAATTCAGGAAGTTTTGAAGCTCTGCATCTGAATTTCTACATTTCCAAATTTCCAACTAACTCAATAAAATGTGTTTACAGGATATTTGGCTACTCCAACGAAGAATTATTGGAATGTTTTGATGCAAGGGAAATCGAGAGAATCAACGATGGAAGAAAAGCGTTATTTGTTGTCACTTTTTGTTATTTTCAGTTTTTTGTTTTGATATGATCGTTTCGTGCGATTTTGAATTTGGACAAAATAAATTATGCATTTGATGGGTTTCTTGACTTTCTGAGAAGTATCATAATATTCCAATCTGTAAGAACTCAGCAATAAGCTCACATTTAAGGGGAAAGAAGACAATTTTCCTATCTAATCAATATCTCATTTTCTATGCAAGATATTAAAATGTGTCAACTGACAGAATACTTTTGATATTATGATAAACAATTTATCAGTTGACAACGGTCTAAATTCTTCGAAAGGAACCGATAAAAGTCGGCTCAAAGTTAGGGTGCCCATCTATTACAGGTCTTACGGTATCTCTATAAATACTGTATTTGATGTTCCAAAAATTTCTGCAAACCTATTATTAAATTCTTTAATGGATACTGTTCATCTTTAACTACTGTCTTTCCATTGTCTACAAAATGATGATTCACAATTCATAGGATGTTTCTGATCTTTGAACATTCGTAGTATTTTTTTCTGGAATGTTCCGCATGTTATCAATCAATTTCATCATCATTTTTGTTTCCCCCACTGTGACTGATGGAAAATCCATCTGGATCGAGTCACATTCTTTGTTTTTGCAAAAGACTCTCGCTCCACAGACAAAAATCAATCTTTTCAATTGTTTCTTTTTTCATAGAAAATCCCCATTTTTCAATCTCTGCAAATTACGCATTTTCAGTAATAAAACACCGGTCGAGTCTCGACAGTTTTTCACATAGATGTTCTCTTTTTTTCAGATTATACCGACTAGTTTTTCGGAGAGAGATGACTTTTCTGTCACCTACTCTTGTTATTCTTTTTACTATGAACCTCTACAAAGTTCAGATTTTGGTGTTCGGCTGTAGTTACAGTATTCTGTTTTTTTTTTTTGAAGAATTGCGGTTTCATCGAGAACAATTTAATCAGTAAAAAATGAAGTGAGCCATTCTGTAATTTATTCGATATTAATAAGGAAGATTACAAATTTTCAATTTGAGATATAAAGCATAGAATCGGAATAGTAAAAAGTTTCAAAAACAGGAACCTAAAAAAAAGTTTATCCGACAAAAAACCACAAGATCCAATACGCAACCAAGCGGTATGAAAATGTACTATTGAAACGTTTTCAAAAATTTTAATAGTTCTGAAAGTTTTGAAACTGAAAAAAAAATTATCTCGCATTACACAAAAAAGAACAAAATCCATAGTTTTCTAATGACCTAGATTTTGAAATTTTTGAAAAATGACAAAAATGTTTCCGGTTTCATAAACATATTATTTTTAGACTCATCTTATCGACTATGTTTTTTTCCTTTAAAATGACAAATGAAGCGTTTCAGAAATTTATATTTTCCCACTTTTTATGCCGACCACGGGCGATCACTGATCGCCGATCAGTAACTTTTTAAAGGATTTATACTTTTAACCATATAAAGTGAATACCATAAAAACCAATACTATAGCATAGAACTTTTGAAAAAATTTGAAGGTTTTGAAATCGAAAACGATGAATCCCCCATTACACAAAAAAGAGCAATATCAGCATTTTCTAATGATGACCTAGATTTGGAAATTTCAAAAAATGACCGAAATATTCTCTGTTTCAGAAGCAAAGTATTTTTCGAATCATCTAATAGACTACGTTTGATTAAGGGATCATATCCTATTTCGACTTTAAAGTTTTTCTCAAACTTCTCAACGTTTTAGAATATAAATTTATTTTTGATTTGACGGCTCTTCGGAGATTCTGCCTTTTTGAAGTTTTCAAAATGAAGAATTTCATTTCTTTAAAGGGGGGGGGGGGACATGAAGAAAATAATGTTCTCGAAATTCCGTTCAAAGATGTCCCTCGAGGAGTTGAACTTGTGAGGGCGATGATTGAGGGTGCGGCGCCGCTACCGACTGAGCCACGCGGGCAAAAAGCGCACGCCCGATTGCATACATAAAGGCGAGGACGACAGCTGTACGCAGAGTGACATTAAGCGTTGTACACCGTTACGGTAGAATGCATACTCTAGCTACAAAAAAACTACGAAAAATCTCCTGTCCCCCCACCTTTAACTGTTTTATTAAATCAATTAAGTGCCAAACGGTTCAAAAACAAACATCGAAAAGTCAGGGCGTCCCAGAGAGTGTTTCAGAATGAATCATCCAAAGCACATTGTTCTCTCTTTTTTTCTTCTCACTTCCCGGATGAATTGTACACACATTTACATGTTTTACGCATTCTTTTTCTCACATTTCCTCTCCGTTTTTCCCGCTTTTTCTCCCAACCGTCAAAATATGAAAAGAGATGGGGTCTATTCAAATATCAACCTAAAAGTGGCTCTCTGTCTCTTTTCAATTCGTTTCATGTTTTGATATTTCGAAAAGGTTTTTCCGCACTTTTTCCAGGTGAGAAAGACACGAAACGATTTTGATGATTTTTGGATACGATACACAGGATTTGCTCCAGATGAGACGATGATTTCTGCAGATGCTCTCAAGGCGTGAGTTGATTTTTTTGGAAATCGAAAATTTGCAGAAATTAATCCCAGATGTCATACTACATATCGTTAAAATTTTCATTTTGGCAAGTAAATGTCAAGATAGTTAATTTCGATTTCAAGGATTATTTACTCAAAAATTAAGTTTTATACTAATTCAAATTGCTTAGACATTTGTTCGGAACAGAACACTTCGAATTCCAACAATTCTGAAAACGGTCAAATTTGTTCTACGTTTTCTGTTTCATTGAAAACATTTACGATGTAAGATGTTCAATTAGAATTTTGAGGAATAAGTAAGTTAGTATACCGAATAAATCAAAATTTGAAAATAATCAGTTTTATGCAGTCCACTAGAAACTTCTTGACGGTTCTCAACTGGCTTTTGAATCCCCACTAACACTTGAAACCCAAGGCCACCTATAGAACTCTTTATTTACCTTCAAATACCTTCGAATAATTTGAACTAATTTGACACCTTCTCGAAAAAGAGAATTTGAAATCTGAAAACTCCGAAGACGGCCAAAAACATTTTAATTTTATAACGTTGGAAGATAAATACCGAAAGTCCCAAAACGAAAGATACGGTAGACAATAAGCACAATTACATTTTCCGAGTTTTTTTTTCACTATAAAAAGATTTTGTTATCCACCTTGTTAGTCATCGAAAATCAGGGAAAACCGAGAAACAAATCCGGAAATCCAACATGTTTTTAGGTTACAGTAGTTGTAGTTGTTGGACCTTCGGCCACGGCCACCAGCGTTTTTCTACCACATCTCTGATTTTTAAATATCAGTAAAACTAGTTTCTGTTTCAGCTAACTATAAGAGATTTGGGATGCTAAGAACTTCATTAGCGATGATGTGTCTATAGTATACGATATGTGTGGTACGTGAATAGCATCAAAGTTTAAAAATGACGAAGTCTGACAGTTTTGAGACAGTTAATTTTGTTTCTAAACTTTGATTTTTGTCTGTTTCACCACTAACATTCAGAATTCTAAAAGTTTCATGAACGATGTTATTTTCGATGTTTTCTTTTTGATGTTGATGCTCAATCACACAGATTGAAAATACCCCAGTTTAACGAAACAGCGAAATAGTTATTTTCCAGCCCATTCTTCTCGGCCACCCGCTGTTCGACTGACTCCGTTCCAGCATACAAATCATTCCTCCATCGTACTCGATTCCTACTTCTCCTTCTCGTCATCCTCCTCAATGCCGTCGTCTACAGTAATACCATTCTTATCAATTTCACATTGATTTGCATGTCAGAGGAAAGCTTGGAGAACGTTTTGAATGGAACGCAGAACGATTGTAAGTTAGATATATCTAGAAAACAAAGAAAGTGTGATGATTCCAGATGAATTGCTTCGAGAGGCTATGGCTGCGAGTATGAACGACTTCCGATCGTCATGGTTCACCTTCACCGGGTTTCAGAGGAGTATAATCTTTATGGTGGCTCCTCTCGGATCACTGATAGCAATCTGGCCCACTTGGTTCTTTATCATGGTGAGTAGTTACAACGTTTATCTGTCCACCAGAAAATTGAATGATATAGAGTTTTTAGCAACAACTTGAAACGGGAAGTTTTTCAGTTCCATTTTCCTACAATAAGAAAGACCCAGTTGGAAAAAAAGGGTTTATTTTGATATTAGATTGTCCCTTTTGCATTTGTACTGGAAAAATGGTTTTGTCCCACGTTCCACGTCATTCAAGTAAAACTCCGAGAAAGACAGGCACACAGAAATACAGAAGTTTCTATGAAAGAAGTCAATTGAAATGTTCTCCATCTTTCAAAAAATTCTGAAGGTTTTGAAACTGAAAAATTAATACAGCATTACACAATAAAGAAAAAATTACAATTTTCCAGTTACCTAGAATTTGAATGTTGTAATCATGACCAAAATATTCCCCGTTTCATAACCAAACTAGTTTAGACTCCTTTTAAAGACCCGTTGTGATGGTAATTTCCAGTCAATAAAATACGTTGTCTCATCAAAATGTACTGCAATTTTTGTAAGATTGTGAAGATTTTGAAACTGAAAAAAATTTATCCAGCCTTACACAAAAAAGAACAAAAAATCATAACTTTCAAATGACCTAGAATTTGAAAATTACTAAAAAATGAAAAAAGTTTTCCCTGTTTCATAAACTAAGAATTTTTAGATTTTTTAATAGGTTTCGATGTTCTCAGAGAGTCATTTTTAAAAAAGTTCTTCGCTTTCTAAACCAATGTTTGTTTACAAATGAAGTATCGAAGAAAATTATAGTTGCACACTTATAATGCCAACGACGGGCGATCCGTAACTTTTTTCACAACCAAATGCTTTGAACATATAAAATGGAAGCTATAGACTTTGAAAAGGGTTAAAAAATGGTAGCATTTGAAAATTTGTTTCTTGTCTAAGAACGAGTTACATGTTAACGAAGGAGCGTTTTGAGATTTTCGCCTATTTTTCAGCTTCACGACATGTAAATTTGTTCTAGGATAAGCCATAGCTCTTCAACTAATACCATTTTGTAGTTATTTTTAAGTTCTAAAATTTCCATTTTATACGGTTCGAAAATATTCAGTGTGAAATAAGTTACGCATCGTTCCGTATAATGTTCTGTGAGAACCACAAAATATTCTGTTTCACAAATTCTATTTGTTCACTAGGTAAAAACATTATGGCAGTTTTATCGTAGTTTTCTCTGACCGTCTTATTACTTGTTTGCCACACTTGACCGATCCATCTGAAATCGAAACAAAAAAATTGTCTTTCATCCCACTTTTCGAGCAAAAACTTATGAACGGTTTTTGTTCGACTTGTTCTTGACAGGAAGGATTCTCATGCCAATTTTTTCCAGAAATTCGGGTATCGCCGTGTGTGTTCTGTCACCTGTCTCATCTCCACCTTGCTCTGTGCCTTCCTCCCCTGGTCCATTTTCTACGGGTTTCCATTCGTCGCAACGACCCAATTCCTGCTCGGTGCCATGGCTCCATCGGCTCTTCTTCTAGTGCCAAGTGTCATTCGAAAGTGGTCGACCCGAAAAAATGACCACTTCTGTTTCCTGGTTCTGTCCACATTTCAACAGGTGAGTGTGAACTTCCGTTTTTGGGAGTGAATAATAGGGGGACAGAGGTCAAGAGTCTGGGTAAATATTATAAATATGACACCGGAAATTGAAGAGAATCCTAAAAAAAGAATGGGGTTTGGGGAAAATAAAAAACAACGTTTCAAGAAAATGATAAAAGTATTGAAACTCTTCACAAATTGATAAGAATGTGCCTTTCATATTCCTTACCTTTTACTCTTCTAACATACTGTGAGGATCATACCAAACAAAAAAGCGGCTCAAACGTTCTGTCCATACTTAAAAAATCCCGGCTCGGCCCGCGGGCAAGAGGAAAATTTTTCCGCCACGGGTAAAATACTACGAATAAAATACAAAATTTTTCTGTTGATTTTTGATACACTATTGTCAAAATGATAAATTTGAAGTACGAAATTAAGTTCATAACACTTCTAAAAGCTGAAAACGAAGAAATTTTAATAAAATGCTCCCAAAAATCCAGTTTTGCCTCAAAAAATGACTTTTTAAAGTTTTGCCTCAAAACCCAGGCTAGCCGGACCGAGCCAGTGAAAATTCCTCCGCCGGCCCGTCCCGTCCCGCGACATGTATGCTTCTGTCTGTTTCAGTGAAAATAAGTATTAAAAAACGTTTTCGATCGAGAACCGAAAACATTTTCCTGTTTCATTCGGATTTTAAAAAATTATCAAAATTTCTGCCTTTGATGGGCTGTCATGATAACCTATAAAAACATCTCTCTTGATCTTGATCCAGTTTTCTAGTTTTCTGTGAACGGCATATATGTCCAAGTTTATCGGGAATCTTTCTATTTACTCAAATATACTGTTTTTTCCAGATCTCTCCATCATTCCTCTACCCAATTGCTGCCTACATTTCCAAGAGCTTTTTCGGATGGCCAGTTGTTTTCTACTTTCAATCGATCATCAGTTTCCTAGCCACAATTGCGTTTTTCTACTTTTATAAGTGAGTTTTTGAAAGATTACTAAAAAGTGGCTTGGCTAATTGAAATTTCCAGAGAAACTCCGATCCGGCATGCAAATGTATCCAGTAACGAGTTGGAGAGAATTCAGAGGGATGAGTCCGTGAGAGGAAATATTGATTATAAGGTATTCGTTGAAAATAATATTCTGCTCAGATCCGGAATTTTTTAAAAAGTTTCTGAAGCATCAGATGTTCTGTTAGTCGAAAATTTTAATATTCAGAAACCTAGCGATTCAAGAAAGTTCAGAAATTCGGAATTTCCAGGAATTAAGATTCAATATATTTTTATTTTTTACAAAAATCTCGTATTTCTAAAAATATCATCCGAAAAATTTGGTCTTCAAAAATTTTCTGTTTCGAAATCGTTTTAAAAATTCTCTCAAAAATCTCATGGATGATTGAATTTTTCCACAATGTCGAAGAATGGGCTCCTGGACGTTTCAGAACCCGACGTTTCGGAACCACGACGTTTCAGAACCCGACGTTTCAGAACATGACGTTTCAGAACCTTTCTGCATTTTTGTATAGTGGTTTTTGCGCACCAGATGGGCATTGCTCATTTCAATTTTGTGTTTTTCTGCTTTTTTGTTCATTCTCATCTACCGTACTCCAAATAATGATAGGTTCACACTGGGAATCTCTCAAAAAATCGAAAAAGTTGAACTTTTAAAAAACGATGTCTATAATAAAACCATTCAAAATGAGACTTCTATTCGCCGAAAAAATTATTCGAACTTCTAGACATCGTTCTTGAAAAGTTCAATTTTTTCGATTTTTTGAGAGATACCCAGTGTCCAGGAGCCGAAGAATGTTTTGAAAATAATAATTCAAAAAGTGAAAAATTCGAAAATTCTGAAATTCGGAAATCCAAAGAAATCCAAGAAAGTTCTGGAATTCGGAACTTCCGAAATTCAAAATTTTCCAGATTTTCGAAGTTCAAAGGTTTTCTGTTTCGACTTCTACAAAAGTTCTTTGAAAATAATTTCACAAATGATCAAATGAAGTCTGGGAGAATTGGATATCTTGGAAATTTCAGCTTTTCCAAGACCATTGTCTACTAACGCACCAAACCTGTAAATTTCTTTCCAGAAAATGATATTATGTCGTCAATTTCAATCTGTTTCCCTCTGCAATTTCTCCTATTTCCTCCTTCTCTCATTCTTCATTCAATATCTTCCGACGTATCTCTTCAATATTATGAATCAGTCACTGGAGAAATCCGCTTGTACCATTTCTCTGATTATGGTATGCTTTTATTCTCTAAGGCATTTTCTTTTCAAAATTTTCAGACTGTTCATCTAATTCTCAAGATTTTCATCTCTCGAATTTTCGAGAAAAATCCATTGCTCACCTCCATCTATTCCATTAAATTTTTGTGTTTTGCCAGCTTGACCGGGTCCGCTCTGATCATGATTACTCTATTTTTGATCAAGTAAGAACCTTCAAATAATTCAATTTAATTCAAGAAAATTCCAGATTTCTTTTCGAGATCCAACTCATATTCTATGCTGCCATAGCCGCTTTTCTTTCGCTTTCCTGGCCATCCCTCTTCAAAAGCTCAAATATTATCTCCAAGTGAGTTTTATTATAATTCAGCACTGATAGCATCATAAAATGATTCACGATTTAAAAATTCTAAAACAGCAAATAAATTATAATTTTCAGCAAATACTACCTCCCAGTGATGATTCGAACTCAAATCGTATTATTCTACTTCGCGTCGGTGATGAGCAATATTCTTCCGCTTATTTTCGGAAGAAGAGATAATTGGGAGAGTTGGAGGTAAGTTAGACAATAAAAATCGAAGTCTGACAATTTCATTGAAGATCGACAATTTTGAAGTCCTAAATAAGTAATCTAGGCTTTTTCGTACCTTTTGAGAATGCTAATCTAGGCTTTTTTGTGACAAAAGGCTATCTCACCAGAATGGAAAATTAAAGCATTAAAAAATGTATCACTGTTCGTGCTTTGTATAATCTGAAAAGTTTAGGAAAAAGGCAAAAGTTTTGGAATACATTTCCAAGAACTCCAAAGTTTTGCTGTGCCTTAATTCCGTTTATCTCGGTTCCTGAAAAAATAGAGAAATTTTTAAAGATGTTGTGCGTTAAAAATTGTATTGCTTCATTTTGTGCAGAATTCTATTTAGATTCCCATAAAAATAAAGAAAAAATTCAAAAAAATTTACTACAATTCGAAAACCGGCGTCGAAAAAGCGACGATGTAACCGGTGGCCTAGTGGTCAAGTGGGAGTTTTCTAGTCCCCCGGAGGAAGAAGCGCGCGAATTTGAATTTATTTTCGATTTTCAGTTTTTTTCTAACATTTTTCCGGTTTTTTGAAATATCTGGGAGAATAATCAACAAAAACCATGAAAAACCTGAAAAAAGGTGAAAAAACACTGAAAATCAAAGATAAGTTCGAATTCGCACGCTTCTCCCTTCGAGGGACTAGATAACTCACACATGGCCGCTAGGCCACCGGATACATAGTCGCTTTTTCGACGCCGTTTTTTGCATTTTTGTTATTGTTTTGAATTTTTTCTTTATTTTTATGGAAATCTGAATAAAATTCCGCACAAAATGAAGCTATAGAAATTTTCACCGCACACCACCTTTAAAATAAAAAGTGATAAAAACTGGTAATGTTACCACAAACATTTTATCATTTATCAACATTTAATTATCCATACGACTTAGTCAACACATAATGAAGGCGCATTGCTCCTGTGTGAATAAGATGTTTATGAAACAGACAATATTTTTTGTTAAAAAAACAGTTTTCAGAAATTGATTATGTGTTTTTAGCCTTTTTTATTATCTCTAGAAATTTGAAACATTCTATAAGACCCATAAAATATCAAAACTTCTTTTTTATTTCTAGGTTCATTTGGCTTGGAATGTCCATCCTTCTGATCGTCTCCGTCGTTTTCTTCTGGATCTCTTTCAAATTCGATAAGTCCGATTGGGATACTGTAATTCTTGATCCACCTCCAGAACCTGTTAAACCCGAGGAAATCGCACCGGTCTCGCATATACGTCCATGTACCTATAGTACTACGTTCGATAATGAGGTTAGCGTTTTTTCTGATTTATCAAAGTTCTGATGTTTCAAACTTTCTGTATCTATGACTGAACGGCTTCAGTTTTTCAATCTTTATGGCGTGCTTTCGAAAGCATATTTTTCAGATCGTCGTGTCAATAATCTCTCGGGGATTGGAAAGATGCGATACTTGTAAGAAACTTGGAATTGATTCCAAGATCCATTCAAAAACCGAGAATGATCTCATCAGAACCAGAAGACAGTTGGATGAGTTGCTTCAGGAAAAGGAGGAAGCACGGGTCTCCATTACAAGATTTTGATCATTATAACTGAAGCGTGTTGATGAATTGTAATTATGAATGAAATAATTTGTTTATGTGTATCATTCATTGAAATGAATAATTTAAAATTTGACTTCTTCTGTTTTTAATATCTTCAATTTCAGACTTCTTGAAACCGTACAGCCTGCATTAGAAGTGTTCTTATATTGTTCCAAGGTACCTCCGACGGGGCGACATGTTCAAATAGTAACGGATCGCACCCAGTTAGAAATGTGAAAACACTCTATTTTGATAAAAAGTTTTATCGATAGTTTGTAAAAATGATAAGGAATCACCATTTCCACCTCATTTCTCCCTCTCCATTTCGTCTTCATTTTTCTTTAAAACTATGTATTCCGCCTACGAAAAACTAACTATCTTTGAAAGAAGGAATATAAAACGAATTCGAATATTGTTCAAGTCGAGGAAAGTTGAACTAGATGTTTATGGACATTCGAGAACCATCATATATGAAAATAGTTCTGGAAACACTACAGTTACGATGGGAAGAATCGATGATTTTCAAGTTGATGACAATTACTTGCGAGTTTTTTGTCGAGATTTAGAACTGGTTCTGAAAAATCAAACTGATTGTTTGGAGAGTTTTGTAATTACGTCAGATGATGATTTAAAGGAAATAGGCGAGAAAAAGTTGGAATATTTCTTCGAAGCTTTCAAAAAGTCACTCGAATCCAGAAACGAGCCATTGAGAGTTAAAAGTGTTTTTTTTTGAAATTTTCGATGTTTTTCAAACTCTCCAAATTATTTTTTTATTGCATGCGGAAATCCTGGGAAGGGTTAATTTTGAATTTGCGAATACCATAAACACTCTGGAAATTTTAAAATTGGTTTATTGGAACAAAGGAAATCGATTAAAACTGGACATTAATGTCAACGATTTCTCAGGCGAAAATTTGGAATCTGTGAAAACTGTGAATTTTTTTTCTCAATTTTATTTACAACAATTGATTTTCAGCTCTTGCTTCATTCCTCAACGTTTTCGCAAATTGAAATAGATTACGGAAATACGACTGAAGATGATTTTGAAACTTTTTTCAATTCCCTTGTGAACAATATGCTGATTATGTTATTTTCTTTTTGGAAGATGTGAAAACGGAAACTATTGAGAAAATGGAGGAACAAGAAGAAGTGAGTTGAATGTTTTTTCGCAATCTGAAAACAAAAACTTTTTTAATTCAACAAATTTCCGAAATTCAAAATTTGGAAAATGATTGAGATGAACATTTCGAAACTACCATAAAACCTGTATTCAGACTTGTTCAAATTGGTAAAATTTTTGGGAACGAAAATTCGCGAAACAATTGCCTGAAAGCAGAAAAAATTTTAGTTCCAGGAATTCCGAGAAAATCAAAACTATAATTTTGATTGAGTCGATGAAATCGAACGAGACCTAACCTGATGGGGTGCTATAACCGAGTTCCTCCCCCTCCAGCTTTCCAACTTTAAATTTTTTGAAATGTTGCAGAAACTTCCAGAACCTCCATATTTGAAAGTTCTGAAAACCCGAGATTTGATGGAACAAATCGCTCAGACTTTAGAATGTTTTGACATGTGAGTTTTTTGTCCAATCTTTTAATTACTTTCAAATAATTATCTTTTCACATTTTCAGTCAAAACCTGCGTCGCGTGTCTTCGGGAATTCGTAAGTGTATGGATGCAGTGAAACCGGATCCGAAAATTCAAAAATATCGGATTACTGTAGAAAGTGATCACCATATCAAATCGGAAATTTTTCTGAGAAATGGACAACGTCAATTTATTGAATACAGTGATGACTCAAGAAATTTGGATCAGTTAACAATAAATCGCCGTTCTTTGATTTTTGATGATTTTTGCGACGTAGCACTGAATGACTTCTATGTGAATTTGAGGCATCAGAAAACAGTTTTGGAAGAGTTAGGAGTGGAATTGAGGTAATTATTTTTTTGTTTGTGTCAGTAGGAGCTTCCGAATTTCTATTAATTTTAAGCTACAAACAAGCCTTCTTCTCTCCACACCCAAAGCCACACGACGATTATTCGGATGACGAATTTCCTTCTGAAGAAAAGAGAATTCCAATAAAACATGAGAGAAGTACAAGTATGGATTATCCAAATCTTTTCGAATTTGTTCAAAACTTTGTATTCGATTTGAAAAAAATTTTGGAATCTATGAAAAATTTGAGAATTCGAAAATTGAGAATCGGGAGTGTGGATGCACGAGAAGTGGAAAGGATTTTGAAGAAATGCAAAAATGTCGAATCTTTGGAAATTTTCGATCCAGATGGAATACATAGAAGATGTTCAAGAATGTACAATTTTCCAGAGGAATTAAGAAATTCTAAATTTGACTTGGGAGACATTTTATATTTGGTTTATGATTTCAAAGAATTGCATATCGAAATTCCCATAGAAAGAGATTGTGATGATGAAATTCCAGATGTTTCTGAAATCGGAAATTTGGAAATTCGAATTGAAACAATTTCTGTGGGAGAGTTGTCACATTTCAGAACGGTAACCTTTTTGCACTAAATTTACAATCTTAATATTCTTCAGGAACTTCTCAAATCGCAAACTTTTGAAGTATTCAAAATAATTTTTGAAAATATGGATTCGGAAGATTCTCTATTTGCCAATTTCGGAGAGCCCTACCATACAATACGGAATGCCAAAAAGATTTGGTATTTTCGAATTCCCAATACTGATTTTTTTATGTTCATTGTGTTAAATCCAGTTATAGCAGGTTCGGAAAAACTTAGAATTATAACATTTAAAAAAGTTAGAAAAGAGAGAACTCCGTTTCTCTAATTTTTTAGATTCATTTTTTTGTGTTTTGTTTAAATAAATAAAAAATTTTTGTCAATTTTTATTTCTTCATTTCTTAACAGCCAGTTGCTCCAGGAAAATCAGATAATTAATTTCGAAAAAGCGACCTTTCAACGCCTTGAGCCTTGTGCCTTGGACCTTGAGCCTTGTGCCTTGGACCTTGGGCCTTGAGCCTTGTGCCTTGGGCCTTGAGCTTTGGGCCTTGGGCCTTGGGCCTTGGGCCTTGGGCCTTGGGCCTTGGGCCTTGGGCCTTGGGCCTTGGGCCTTGGGCCTTGGGCCTTGGGCCTTGGGCCTTGGGCCTTGGGCCTTGGGCCTTGGGCCTTGGGCCTTGGGCCTTGGGCCTTGGGCCTTGGGCCTTGGGCCTTGGGCCTTGGGCCTTGGGCCTTGGGCCTTGGGCCTTGGGGTCGCGACCTAGATAAAAAATAGTTCGTAACCTAGAAAAAATTAGGTCATGACCTAGAAAAGAACATTGAAAAATTAACTCAATCATATAACTTTCCATGTTTCAGAAGGTCTTCATAAATTGTAATGTTTTCGATTTTTATTGGTTCGGTCAGATCGCTTCTACTCGAGGTCCAAAAAAAGTAGAACAAGAAGTGCCAACAAGAGATGAAACAAGTACAACTTACAAAAGTAATCGGAGGGATAAGAGGATGGATGGGTGATCTCTTTGTGTGTACAAATACAACAAGAGAAAGGACAGATAATGAAGAGCAAAAAGCACTTGACACACTCAGAAAGTGCTCCTTTCCGGACAGAGTGAGAGATTCTGCGTCTCTCTTCTCTCACCCATTACCAGTTTCATTATCTAGTTCATTAGAGTCGGCTATTGTTATTCAAATGAGAGCTCTGTTGAGTTTTGGATTCAGAATTTTAAATGGAAATTGGTGACAGATTTTAACTTTTTCTCACGAGTTTCGATTTTTCATATTTTTCAATACTTCGAAATTTCACAATTTTAAATGTTTCAAAAGTTTATTATATCTCTTCCAAGTTGTTTATCAGCATTAATTAGTACTGCTTAAGAACTTCCAATAAACGCTCAGCTCAAAAAGTTCGGCGGAGCGTGTTTGCCAATTTTCTTTTAAATAATTTATACCATAATTTCCGTCGAATGGCTTTTTTGCTGAAAGCCTAATTGCCGAAAGCCTGATTTTCAGTGCAAGCCCAAATAAGCAATATAAGCGCTCCACCGAACAAAAAGGCTTTCCGTAGAAATATTGAGCTACAATGAACTATACGAAACTATTGTTTAAAAAAATGAGACGCCTGACGATTATTATGTGTTTAGCGGAGAAAACGAAGGTGGGGGTCGAAAAAGTACTTTTTATCTAGTGAGTCAGCGGAAGGGACAAAAAAATAGGGAACTGTACGACGGCTATATATTTAGATAGAAATTCGGAATTTTTTATTCAAATTTTTAGTACAGAATTACGAAATGGTAGTCGTTCTACCATGAGTGCTCTAATAGAACACCACTCTACACTTGCACTTTGAGCTCAATTATCTCAATTTCTGTAGAAGATATCAAAAATTCTTCAATTAACAAAATGTTGTTTATTTTATGAGAAACATTTTATCAGTTGATAGATTTTTTTTATCTTTCACAAGAACCGAGATAAATTGGCTGAAAGAGAAAATCTAAAAAGGTATTTTACGAAAATTAGTTTTCAAGAATTTTCTGTTTCGAACATTTTATTTCAATAGCTTTCTCAAGTTCACTACAATGCTTTTTTTTTTCAAAATACGTTAACGAATTTTGCAATGATCACTCAAATTCTTCCCATAGTTTCTTCATGATCACTGATAATTGATAAGTCCTTTCCCAACAAAACACCATTTTGTATATTTACTCATGTATATTTTGTTTTCCAACAGTGACTCTTCTCTACTATTTGTTTATTCTGAGGCGTCAAAACAAAGGATTACTGTAGGTGGATGACACCCGTCAGGCGCATCATAATCATGCGGCAAGGCGTGTGAACACATTTTCGAATTATTCAAATCGGTGAGCAAATAGAGAAACGGGGTGTGAGGAAACTAGCGAAAGAAGGAGAATCCGAGATGAAATTCATTGAAAATTGCTTGAAAAATTGAATTTTCGTTATTGGCAAAATTTCGAAATTTTTTTCTGACTTAGTATTGTTAAAAGCGTTTTTTAGCTTGATAAACAATTTGCTTGAAACATAAGTAAACATTTAAAATATGGAAATTGATAAAATGGTCTGAAACCTGATTTTCACTCCATTTCTTTGGCACCGCGCAGCCCAATAGACGAAAAAATGAAAAACTGAAAATCGAATTGTTTGAATTAAGTTTGACCTTATCAAAATAACCCATTAGGGAAAGTTTGGAAAATGTAAATCTACTAAAAAGTAAATTCTTCAAAAAATGTATGGGATAGTTTGAAGCTTCAAACTCCACCATTTCAAAAAGTACCGCTTTCGGACCGTGCTTCTAATTTGAGGAAATTCATCTCGGTTCCTTTTAGAGATATCAGAAAGTTATCAACATTTTATCAGTTGACCACTTCTTGATATCTCTCGTCAAAACAGAGATAATTGAGCTCAAAGTGCACGTATAGGTTGGAGCTTCTACTAGAGCATTTACGGTAGGTAACTATTGCAGTCCCCAACTTTTTTTACTGTTTTAAAATCGCTACATCATTTTTGGTAATAATATTGAATTCAGTTTGCATAGGACCCACTCAAATTATTCGATCCATCTTCCAATTATCCACTCTCCCATACGTTCCCATACGTTCTCCTTTCTTAATTCTTAACAAGACAAAATGAATAATTCATTCGAAAATGTTCAAATATATAAGACGCGTATCTTTTTCTCTCCTCTTATTCCTAAAAACCATAGAGCTCCCCCTCTTCTTCTCTTCGGAGGATGGTAATTCGATGCGACTTTCCCCTCGGTTTCCTGTTTCGGAAATTGAACATACTCACACCAGAATGCAAAACGAAACCACCGCCCAGCCACCCTGGCCTTCTATTGTTATTGTTGTGTTTCTTGATCTTCTAACATTTTCATTTTTAAGTCAGTGTTTTTGAAATCTGGAAAAGAATACAACGTGGCATTTTTTTTGGAAATTGAATATGTTAATTTAAAGGTGTTGAAACATTGAAAAACTGTTTTCCTCCATTTTCGCGTCTGAGAAGGAACTTGTGGGCGAATAAAATGGAGATACCGTGCCGGTCCAGATGTCGATTCTTACCCCAAAAGAAACTATTTTTCTGTTTAGCATCTTTGATAGACCAACAGCAGACGCATCATTTTTCAAATATTTTTCTATATATCTGCTCCATCTGAAACGGAGAATTTCGAAAACACAAGAAAATTTTTTTTCCAAAACAGAAGCTCAATTATGTATCGCTGATTTCATCGGTCCAAAAAGCCCTGACTGCGAGCGCGTGGCTCAATCGAATACGGTGCTACACTGATAAAATTTTGTCCGCAAGTTCAATTCTTCGAGGGACTTCAATTTACAAAATTTTCAAAAAAGCAAAGGCTATCTCTTACTGGAACCTAGCCTCAAATATGAGCAGTAATCGAATTTGAAGCTTCAAACTTTTCAATGAATTATTTTTGAAAAATTTACTGTTTTATGGAATTAACTTTTTTTCAAAAAGTTACTTTCATAATAATGTCAATTACCATTTTGTAGTGGTTTTCCATCAGAGAAAATCTGTGAAATGAAGAGTGTGAAACTGCAATGTTTTTCGAAAACAAAAAAGTTCGTTTGTTGAAGTTTCGTTCGTATAAGCACCAGAACTTGTGGGCCCATCGCTGGAGGCGCCGAGTTGCTACCAGCTGAGCTACGGTGGCGCAAGCTGAGTCGGCCGAACGACCTGCGCACCGTCACGTACCGTAACTCCATAAAATCTTCTGTCTTCCCTCCTTTAATCTCAAAAACCCATTTTTCCTTTCAAAATGCCTCTCCAAGCTTTTCCCATCGTTCCGAATGGCGTTCACTTTGATTTGGCTGTCATTTTAAATCAAATCGTTCGATTTCTATTTACGTACGGTCCTCACTCTCTCTCTCTCTCTCTTTTCCGCGGAAAAGGTCGAGAGATAGACACGCTTATCCTCCCAATATATTTTCTCTGTTTTCTCTCTTTCCAATTCCTCCGAATTATCCAAATGTTATCTTTTCGATTCTTCCGATTAATCGTTCGTCCCTTTTCTCACTTTTATCCCCCGAAATTTCACACCTTGTCAAGATTTATGGCCCATTTTTATGAACTGCAAAGATGAAATGTTTCTAGAAAACAGCTATTTCAAAATTTCATTAAAAACTTTTTTTTTCTGTTTCGAGGTGTTATTTTTTAATTTGTTTTTAATTCTCTGAGTTTTGTGCATCCAGTGTCTTCTTTCGACTTTTGAATTATATTCGCTTGTATTTGTCCAGATTCTTCCCCATTTGACGTCATCTCATTTCCCGAAGAACCATTTTTGATGTTCGTCTCTCAGAATTTGTAATGAATGGAGAAGATGTTTTTATTTCTAATTCTCTTTTTTGTGTCTTGGAATACAAATGCATTTTTAATCGAAAAACGGATAGAGCCAAATGTCAGAAGAGATCCCATTTTTTCTAGTGAATTCGTTAATCCTTCTGAAGAATTTTGCAAGAAAATATCAGTATTCTTTAGGATTAGGGAGCTAGAAGTTTCCAGTCGCCTTGTTTTCAAAAAAAAACTGAGGTTTCAATTTCTTTATTTTTAGTATTCCCTATAAGCGAACATCACTTTATTGCGTATCGAAAAACCCTCTGAATTTCAACTTTGAGCCAAATTCTCTCCGTTCCTGTAAAATATATCAAAAAGTGGTCAACGAACAAAATGTTCGTGATATCATCACGAATATTTAATCAGTTGAAAATTGGTTCTAATCTATTACAGAAAATAAGATAATTGAGCTAAACTTCCAAGTATAGGGGAGTCGTTCTGTTAGAGGAAGTCGAGTTTAATTCTTTTGAAAATCGTTTACCCTTTTTTCCCGGAAAATCGAATTTTTGAATTAAAAAAAATCAAAAAACGGTTCAAATATATACCTAGTTAGCTTTTTTTGGCTCGAAACTCTGTAAATTAAAGGTGGTGTGCGGTGATAATTTTTATTGTTTTATTTTGTGCAGAATTCTATGTAGATTCCCATAAAAATGAAGAAAAAATTCAAAAAAGTTCCTTCATTGAGAAAAACGGCACCAAAAAGTCAAAGTGGGAACTGGTGGCCGAGGGAAAAAGCGGCGGTTTTCTAGGCCAACTGCAGGTAAAAGCGCGCGAAATTCAAAGTTTTATTGATTTTCAGTTTTTTAAAAAAGATTTTTGAAAATGTTTTCAAAGGTTTTTGTTAGTTTTCTCCCAGTTAATATGAAGCAACCTGAAAAAATCTGAGAAAACGCTGAAAATGAATAAAACTTCGAATTTCGCGCGCTTTTACCTGCAGTTGGCCTAGAAAACCGCCGCTTTTTCCCTCGGCCACCAGTTCCCACTTTGATTTTTTGATGCCGTTTTTCTCAATGAAGGAATTTTTTCGTTTTTCCTTCATTTTTGTGAGAATCTACAAAGATTTCTGCACAAAATAAAGCAATAAAATTTTTCACCGCATACCACCTTTAAAAAAGAAAAATTTAGATTTTTTCAATTTAGTTTTTTTTATTCTGGAATTAAAAATACTCTGGAATTAAAATTAAGGGCCGGGCCTGGCCGAGATTATTTTTTCTCCGGCCCGGCCCGGCCGGTTCGGCCGGTTCGGCCCGTTCGAATTTAAGAAAAAACAGAAATTATTGAAGAATTATTTGAATTTATTTCTTAACAAGTAGCATAACAATGTAAAAACCGTATAAATGAACAAGGGGAAACAAAGAAATGGAAACCGGGGGAGAAAATTAAAGCTCATATCAACCAATCCAACAAAAAAGATAGAAAAGTAACATAAAATTAACTAGAAAAATCACTACAATTAGTGAGAGAATCAGTCGAGACAGTGTGGAAATTTCGTGGCTATTTGCGAACCCAGAACGACCATCACCACACGCTTGTACAGTAATATTGTTCTTGTTTTATCTAACAAAAACGACGCAGTGCTGAACGTAGTCTCACACATGGCTTCACTGGGAACAATCGAAAAAACGAAAAGTGCTGCTGAGAAACCCCCGTAAATCGACACGGGCTGCTAAACAATGCGCGCCTCGTCATATCGGAGCATCGTTGCAAATAAAAATAGCGCGTTCAAATATTAATTAATTGCCGGCCGGCCGGGCCGGGCCGGGCCCTGGTTTTTTTCCCTCGGGCCGGCCCGCCGGCCAGCCCGTCAGATTGCAACCCTGAATTCCGAGAATTGATGAAAATACATTATGGTTTTGAAACTGAAAAGAAAAAATATATTTCTTTGAAAACTGGGAAAGTAATAATAGTTTTATGAAAACGAAAACTCAAAAATTCCGAAAAATTTAATTCGAAAAGTAGAAAATATAGAATGGGATTTCTAAAATGTATCTGCTATTTTTGGTTCCAAACTTGTGAATTTCAGAGAAATTTTGATTTTTCTGTTAAATTCTGGAATTCATTTTTTTTCGAGAATGACGAGACTGTTTTTTGTTCAGATTTGAAACAGACAGACACTAGATAATTATTTATTGCAAGAATTATGGAAAACACATGAAACTTGTGAAACTGAAAATAAAAATATTATTTCTGAAATCAAAATTCAAACTGTGATTTTAAATTTTTTAAATTGGAGGTAATCCAAAATTAATGTTTTGTAGAAAAATGAAGTTTACACAAAAACTCTGAAACAGTGAAATTCTAAAAGTCTCCAAGTCTCTCTATTCCTTCCATCTTTTTTTTGACACTTACGCTAGAATAAACGAACACAAAAGAGAGACAAATCCTTCTGGAGTGGTCTTCTTCTTCTTCTTTGTATTCTTGAGACGGGCGGTGTCCAATGATAACTAAAGATGGATATGTATATTCTCTGTCCCTTGAGACATTTTCCCCTTTTCCCCCATATGTTCCGAGCTGTTTTCTTTCCGTTCCTCTTTCTCATAATAGTATTTCTGTTTTTTGTTTCCTTCTGTTCCATTTTCCTTCTTTTCCAAGAAAACGTTTTTTCCCAGTTTCAGTTTTTTGCCGTAAGAAATATGAAATTTTCAAACAATTAGCGTATTTACAGTTCTAGGTGGTGGAATAATTAGAATTAAATATTTCTGGCTTCTTGTTACTTGGTATTATTCTGGTACGGAAAATCAGAGCTGCGGCCGTTGCGGAAGCTCCCACAACGACAACTACAGTAACCTAAAAATTCGTTTATTTCCCGGATTTTTCATCTCATTTTTCGCTATTTTTCGTGGATTTTTCTGACATTTTTTTTCCGAAAGTTGGGAAAATAAATGTTTTTGATAGTGAACAAATTGATTGACAACTTAAAGAAATCGAGAAAAAACTCAAAAATTAAAAATATCTTTTATTGTCGAATTACAAAAAATGGGACCTGGAAAATTTCGCGGGCGGCTTCCCGGTCAATTTTCGAGACCTTGCCTTAGAAACACTACGGTAGTAAACGAAACTTATTTCTGTGAATTTAGTAGGATTTTTTGGACAAAATTTAGATTTCTTGGTATGAAAATGATCGCTAGCATCTCTAAAATCTGTTTTTCATCGAAAAACCGAACTTAATTGCGAAAGTAGCTCGAACGAGGCGAAAGTCTAAAGTATTGCGTTTTTGCCGCACTTTCTCGTAGATCAAAAAAAGCGACGGTATTAAAATTCTCAGGTCCCGCTTTTTTAATTCGACAATATGTTATTGTAGTTGTCGTCGTGGGACCTTTGACCACGGCCACCGGCGTTTCTCTTCCACAGCTCCGATTTTTTGTATCAGATTCTGTAACCAGAATAATACTTTCATACATCTTCCTTATATATGAAACGCGACACGTGTCTGTTGGTCCGATGTCAGGCTGTCAACTTTTGAAAAACTTGAAAAATGAATATAGATTTGCGTGACCCTTTAAAAAAATTTGAGAAATGGAGCGGCGAAACAGTATATACTATAGGTCAAATAATTTCTGTCAGAATTGAAACCGTACTAATTTTAGATGTAATTTTTTGGAAACTACAAAAATGCTCAACTTTGCTCAAAAATAATTACGTTTAGTTGATTTGAGCTCTTTAATTTCTCATGCACCATATATTTTTGGATTTTTTCGGATTAATGACTTTCTTTCGTTATTTTTTGTTCCTTATAATATTCTAGTTGATTCTCCAATTGAAAACAATTTTTCTTAACAGTCGGGTATGGTAAATTTATAAAAAAAATTGTTTTTTCAAAAATTTCTAATATTCTTCCAAGAAATTTTTTAATACCAATTCCCTTTTTTCGACAAAATTTAAAAATCATTTTACAACTCAATAACATATTTTTTTTTCACTAACTAAAGACCACACATAGATATAAATGTATGTTTTATTTGTCCAATATTCGTCATCCCTTTGAAAAATCGAGTAGTCAACTTTGTTTTGTTATGTTTTTTACAAACAAAGAGAGAAGAGAGAGGGGAAAAAAGGAGATGAGTAACTAGGCATACATAAAATTCCACAAACAACTTTTTTGAATTCTCCATTTTTTACAAGTTTTTTAGGTTGTCAGATTTTAAAAATTGAAAACAATTTTTTCACATTTTCATCAATTTCATAAAAATAGGGGAAATCTGAAAACTTAATCGATTCTCACTTATTTCAAATTTATACGAAACATTTACGATAAGCTTTTCAGCATGAAAAATCTGAAATTGAAATTCCAGAAAAACCTAGCATATTCCAGATTAAATGGTTCTAAAAATTCATTTACAGTTTCATAAATTTCGTAAAAATTGGGAAAAAAACTGAAAACTAATGCATTCTTACAAAAACCACAAATCCAAATTTCTTAATTTCGAAAAACGTTCTGTTTCTAATTGTTCTGAAAATCACAAAAAAGTTTGGAGTGTGATTAAGGAATACTGTTTTCCCTAAGTTTCCAATAAAAAATCTTAAATTGCTCTAGAAACTTCGAGAATATTCCAGACTAAATAGTTCTAAAAATTCATTCACCTTTTCTTCAATACCATGAAAATTGGAGAAAAAAACTGAGAAACCAATGTTTACTTACACAGTCCAGTAGTCCACAAATCGAAATTTCTTAATTTTGAAAATTTTTCCGTTTCTTATTGTTCTCAAAATCACAAAAAATTTTGGAGTGTCATTAGAGAACACCTATGTTTTTACCCTAATTCTCCAATGAAAAATATCTGAAATTGCTCTAGAAAAATCCAGAATATTCCAGAAGAGACGCAGCAGTGTCAAATGATTATCCGCGCGAGACAACATTTTTCTGTGTTGCTTCTCTATTTCTCTGCGTCTCTTCCTCTTCTACACTCTCTCACGACTCTATGTGTTTTTTTTTCGAGCAACACGACGTCTCTTTTTTCTTCTCCTTCTCACTTCTTATTCATCAGAATATCTCCCCCGTTATTTTTCTATTCATGTGATTCTGCTGTCAGTTACATTTTTTAAATAATTTTTTACATTTTCAAAAATCTCAAATAAGTTAGAAATTTCTGATTGAACTAGTCAACTGACAATACTGACAATTTGGAAATTTATTTCATAATTGCTGTCTAAAACGACTTTTCAGAGATCCCAGGGACAATAGAAACTAGAAAATTTGGATTTAAAAATTGTACAAATGTTTTTCAAAACCAAGGATCAAGGCCGTTTTTCTATGTACTCTGCAAAAATGTTTTGATTTCTGCCTCTCTGTGTCTCTTTCTCTCTCTTACTATTGTCCTCTTTTGATTTGAAATCGAAACTCAAACTACATGAAATTTTGACAGATATTTGAATTCTAACTAATATTTTTGGTGTCATTTTTTGAAAATTGTGTCAAAGTCTAAATTTCTGTTTTAAGCAAAAACTAAGGTGGGAACTAAATTTTTCCGAATAATTAGATTATTAATGACAGTTAAAAAATTTTACCGAAAAAGATTCCATTTGAAACTTTTTATTTTTCGCTGAAATAGTACAGAATTGTCCAGAACTAAAATTTTTTTCGATTCCAAGCTGTTTTTAGAAATTTTCAGACATCTCTTTTTAGAAATTAATTTTAAACCGTTTCATATATCTTATTCAAAGAGGACAGTTTTTGAGACGAGAGTATGAATTTTATGGGACCAATGTATTAGTTTTTGCGTGACGGTGTACAGTAATCAGTGTTTACACCTTCCACTTTTTCCTGTGCCTACCGTACCTCTTTACCGTACCCCACGATCGGCTCCGGGGCATTTCGCGACCGGACGTTTCGACACTACGACATTTCGCCACAAGGACATTTCGCCACCAGACATTTCGCCACCGTGATAATACAGGCAAATGGTTAGGTTGCAGATTACAAAAACAGTTTTAGGGTTCTCAAATATGCTTTTTCTGCTAGAACACATTTGAAAACTTGAAAAAAACCAAAAAAAAATTTTCGGATTTTTCAGGATTTTAAAATAAGTTTTATCAGAAAAAGCATATTTGAAAACCCTGAAATGTTTTTTGTGGTCTGCAACCTATCCATTCGCCTGAATCATCACGGTGGCGAAATGTCTGGCGGCAAATGTCCCGGATCCGACCTTGTAGCTCAGTCGGTAGTGGCGCTGCACCTTAAGGTTCCGAATTTGAAAAGGCATGATGAGCTTTTACGTGAAAATGAGCTTTTCAAATAGCTCATTAAGGCTCATTTGATTTTGAATGAGCTTTTTGAAAAAAAAGCTCACGCGACTCTTTTTTAGTTTTATCGAAAAGCTCATCAAGGCTCATGAGCCTTTCTGTGATTTTTATTAAGAAGCTCATATGGCTCATCATAAGTAAACAAAGAAAAGAAATCAGAAAAAAATCATTGAAATCGTGGAAAAATCATGAGTGGCCATGGAACACTCTAAATATCAAGTCACTTCGAGGCCATTTTAACAAGGTGGCCTACTATTGCATGTTGAGTTCCCTACGGCTATGGCCTAAAAATGTTATAACATTCACCTGATACGTATTCTAAGTCATTTTAACGAGGTGGCCTAGAAAACTCAACTGTCAAAACTTAGGCCTCCATGTGAAAATATCTTAGAAAACATAACAGGTGAATGCTACACAATTTCTTCGACATAAAAATGGTTGCCTAAAGAACTCAACAAGGAATAGATAAGCCACTGTGTCAATATAGAATAGAAAACAAATTAGGTTCATGCCAGACCATTTCTGTATCATAAAACTTGATGGCCTAGAAAACTCACTTGCAAAAGTTAGGCAACCAAGTGAAAATGGCGTTGAAATCGCTTGATATTCACCTGATATGATTTCTAGGCTATTTTCACATGATGACCTAATTTTTGCAAGAAAAGTTTTCTAGGCCGCCATTGTTTTTTTCAGGCCACTATCGTTTCTGCCCATCAGGTCACTTGATTAGTTGAATATTTGGCTAAAGTGTTTGTTGATATTATTATTTTTGCCACGTGAACACTTTTCCAGTTCATTTTTTGAACTATGCTTCCGTGAGCCTTTTTTTTGAAAAAGAGTCGACGTGAGCTTTTTTGCAAATGAGCCTTGATGAGCTTTTATCAAAATAAATATTTTCGTCAAATGAGCCTCGATGAGCTTTTTTCAAAATCAATATTTTCGTCAAATGAGCCTGTATGAGCTTTGACGTGGAGTCGAAAAAGGTTCGTATGAGCCTGCTTCATAATGAGCTCACGTGAGCTTAAGTTCATGACTGAGCTTTTTTCGGAACCCTACTGCACTTGCAATATTTCGCCCTCAAGTTCATTTTATTATAACCAATTTAAATTTTTATCATTTCATCAAGGCAGTGCTGAATGACGGCCGGCCGCGCCCGGCCGTGATCCAGTTTATCGAAAAGAATATTGGTCCATTTTCAAACTCTTTTTAATTTTTCTCTAATCCTCTCTAGCTATTTCCTCTCTAACATGTAACATTCCATTCCATTTTTTCCCCAAATTCTCATTTTTATGATCTCTACAACATTTATCTATCTCATTTCACAAAATGCACGAATTTCAACACCAGATGTGTTTAGAAATATGAAATTCGAAAAAAAAATGACCTGATCATTCGAATTCGAATTGACCAGATGTTGTTTCGTTTAGTCCATTTCACTTTTCCATTCGTTTTTGTTTCAATTCTCGAATTTTTCCATTTTTACACGGTAGGAATTAAAATGTGTAAAAAGTAGGAAAGTAGGCGAAAAGAGGGCAATTAGATGAGGAGGAGGAGGAAGAAGAAGGATAATTATCAGTTCTTTTTTCTGTATTCATTCGGGAAGAAGAAGAAACTGGATTTTATGTGTGTGTTTCTCGAAATGACACACTGACGAATTTCTTAATTTTTTCTTTGGATGGTATTTATACACTTCGTGGGATTGCCTCCAAGATCCATATCCATTTTTGATAACTTTTTGATGCAGCAAATGTTATATTAAAGTTTGAGGAATTGTCAGGTATCCCATGTACGACGTTATTTTAATCTTTAAAAAACCATGAACTTTTCTTCAAGATTTTTCAAAACTCTACAATAAACATTCCCGCTACACCCACTAACAAAACGAATGAAACGATACTGTTTCATAATTATTTTTTGAAAGCTAGACTTAATATGTTCGGTAGTCTTCTAGGTGGAATCTGGGATGTTCGGAACGGAATTCGGAATTCGAAAATTCCAACCATTTTCGGAATGAAATTCCGGTCGGAATATTTCCGGAAGATTTTTTTGGAATTAGAGATTTTTGGACTACGGTATGTCCAAAGAAAAATTTGCTTGCATATCTCGAACTGAATTACTCTTGATTGCGCTGTCAAAATGGTTCTGTCAATATTCACCAGTTTTTGGCGTTTTTGTGATGGGGAAATGGAAATTCTACTATAAAATTTGGATTTTAAAAGATTCCGAAGGTTTCGAAATTCCGAAAATCTTAAAATCGGAATATTCCGAAATTCCAAATATTTCAAAACTGGAATACCGAAAAATTCCGAAAAGGCCATTCTGAGCATCCCTGGGTTGAATCTGTATGGTTCATAACCCCCTCGTCATATATTTGATTGTTAATAATATGTCCTGAAAGAACATTTAACAAATTTCGGATTTTCATTTTTTTTAAAAGATTTTCATACTTTGGACCTCTGGAACTTTCTTCAAGTCTAATAGAAGACAATCCTATACTTGCACTTGGAACTCAATTACCTAGCTTCCTGTGAAATATATCGGAAACTTGTCAATTGTTGAAATGTTTGTTATAATATCACCAACAATTTATCAGTTTCAACAGTTTTGATACCTCTTATGGGACCCGAGATAATTGAGCTCAAAGGGCAGGTATAAAGTGGCCTTCTATTAGAGAATTTACGATTTGTAACAAAAGTCATTAAAGAAACGATCAGCCACAATTGGTTTATTATCACTAGCTCAAGATCACATGAAACAGAAAAAAAACGTTTCTAGTGTCTAGTGTCTAGGTGTCACAAGTCTCCGGAATTCTAACATTTTTTGATTGACAAGTTTTGAGTGGCACCAACGGGGGGTCGACGGGGGAAGCAGAACACATTTTTTGTCTTCCTGGTCCGAAAATGTGTTTTTTTTCCATTTGATAGTTTTCACTAGAACTATTCAGTTCCACACAGTACTTTCTGCTAATACACTTACCGTAAACACTCTAATAGAACGCCACCCTAATTTTGAGTCAATTTATCTCGGTTCCTTCAAAACATATCGAAGATCTGAAAACTGATAAAATCTTTATCCTAACATCCTCAACATTTTATCAATTGACACATTTTTGTTATCTCTCATATAAACCGAGATATTTAAACTCAAAGTGCGAATAGAATGTAACCTTCTATTAGAGTGTTCACGGTATGTTAGATTGGAAAACACGGATACCAATACTATCATTTTAATTTTTTTTTGACTTAAAGGATGAAATAGCCAAGAAACAGGAAAAAATCAAGGCTAACACTATTCATTTTTCGTTTAATTGCCAAGATTTGAAACCTATTCATTAGAAATCTGCCAGATTCAAATCTCCACAAAAACTTTGAAACGAAATCCCAAACAGCAGGAAACAATCACAAAAAGACACTAAACCGTTCTTCGTCTCTCTCATTATTTTGATTGAAGAGGAGGGATAAAAAAGAAGAAAAAGGAAATGCCCTTTTCTGAAGACACTCACATTCATTTCTCCTCCCATCGGAACTCGAGTTCTCTCCCATTTCCTAATTGAATTCTTCTTTTCCTTTTCACCCGAATATATTCATGGACTCCTCTAGACATATTTGTACGTTTTTCTCTCTTATTCCAAGAATTTGTACTTTTATTTTTCTTTTATCTTCTATTTTCCATATTGTATCGTTTTGTCAGTTTGTTAGGGGAAGAATTTATGACTGATTGAATTTTAAATTGGAAGTTGGTAGAACAACAAACGTGCAAATTTTTCAGTCTTGTCGACAGCACTTATTGAGTTTGAAAAATATTCAACGTTTTAGATTTCTGATTCGAATGATTTTTTGTTGTAAGCAGCATTCAAAATACATAATTCATTCAAAAATGCTAACCAAAGAGCTTCATTTTCATAGTTGGCAAATGTTCCTTTTTTCGAAATGTCAAAAAAATTTAAGTTTCCTATTTTAGGTAATTTTGGGTTAGAAATTCGGTTCATCCTGAAATGTTCGCTGAACATTGTTCAAAAAATTTTTTCATGTCCAAGCTATGTTTCTCGCGTTCTAAAATTTACTGTTTCCCACTGAACATGTCAAAAATTAATGTAATTGTTCTGGAATGAATCAATTTTCTCTTTCATTTAGAGTAAAATTCAATTTTTTAGCATTTTATTACAGTGGATAAGCTAAATGGGAACTGTTAGACAACAAAAACGCAATGGAACTGGATTGACACAATATTTTGTTCAATAATTGAATGTTTCAGATCCCTGGTTGGAAAGACCAATTTTTTGTGTTCAATATTTGCCATTATCAAAGCTGATAATTTTTCAGCAGTGATGGTTGTTTAGCCTGGAATTTTTCGCAATTTTTGAAATTTTGAATTGTAGAATTTTTCCAGTTACAAAAATAGAATTCCGAAATATTCTGAATGTGTTCAAGCTCGAAATGTCAGGAACTCGAAATTTTGAACACTCTGGCATGCTCTAGCTACATTTTCGGTGTTTTAAAATTCACTGTTTCCCACTGAACATTTCAAACTTTTATGAACTTTTTCTGGGATAATTCGATCTTATCAACCTGCATGTACATTTTATCACAAAGAATGTGCCAATTTTTTTTTCTGTCTCATCGACACCACTTTTTGAGCTCGAAACTTGTAAAATGCTAATTCTTTAAATTTGTGTTCCACATTTAAAAAAAGGAAAAACGTTATTAAAAAAACCCACACAGATCATCGAAAACTGACCTTTTCCTTCTCCTCTGTCTATCGACCATCTGACCATCTCCGACAATTGTCACTTTTCTTGGGTGTGAAGATGATGGATTACTGTACTAAAATCATCATCGTCATCTTCTTTATTCTCTTTTTGTTTTGTATGCGTAGGTTGAAAAGGAAACCGAAACTGTAAATATTTTATCGCCCGCTACTTTTTGAGTTAATAAACTTTTTTGAACAAACATGTTTTAATTTATATACCTTTTCCTGATCCAAAAAATACGGTAGTTCGTTCTTGCTCCTTTAAATGCATGGCATTTCTCGAAAAAAGATCTGCTTCCGTACAAACAGCGGCTCGGCCAAAGATTTTGCAATAACATTAATCAATAGAAGTATTTAATAGAAGAATAGAAATGTTACGAATTACATTACTGAAACTTTCATAACTTTATTGTGAAATCGAAACTGTAAAAATTGCTTGCAGTTTTCCTTTTCAAATTTTCGATGATTTTATCAACTTTTTCGAACAGACATGTTTGGATTTTTTCCTGGTTAATTTCAAATCCATCTACAATTTCTATTCATAACTCGCTCACATGAGTAACTCAATAATTTCTTCCTTCTTATTCTCATTTCCTTATATTTCTTTCTCTCATTTCCATAACTAATCAATTTTTATGCGCAGTTTCCGAAATGCTTTTTATTACCTTCCTTATGTAAAACACACAAACAAATCTTTTTTGTTGGAAAACTCGACATTTTTGTGAATAAGGAACCGAAAATTTTGTACAAACCTAGCCACCCTAATAAAGAAGCTAATTGCTACAAGTCAATTTTCTGAAATCGTAGAAAAATGTTTTTGTCTTTTTGAACTTTTGTTCTAATTCAAAAAAGAACATCGATTACGGGGAAATTAAAGATTGCAGCCATTTAGGAGTTGTCAAGTGGTCAGTGACCATCGTTTTCTTTAGTCAAAAATGAGGAAATTCTAGTTCAATGTAATTAAAAGGCACCTATTAACTAGTAAAAATCTGACAGTGAACTCGGTTATTTTATTTGATTTTCAGATACCGTAAAACCTGTAGTATAGCGCCATGGCGTTCTATTTTTCCGAGGGGCTTTTTGGGATGATGCGGGGTAACTGAAAATAGTATTTTGCCTGATTAACAAAGTACCATAATGTAAAAAAAGTGCAAAATTTCTAGATTCCACTGTAACTGTGTTAATCAAGCATCAAAACTTTGTTTTGCTACCTCCAATCACCTAATAAGGTGGCGTTATATTACAGTTTTCACGGTAATGATATTGCGTTTTCAACAGACTTACAATTAGCGAATTTTGCAGTGTTAACTCTGATAACTATAGCATGAACTGTAGATGTTGAATTAGAAATTAGACAAATTCAATTTTTTAAACTTTGCAAAATGAAGACCTGTTTTTGTGTTATTTTTTGAATTTTAGTCAAACTCAAAACTTCAAAAATATTTCTGCTTCATTCTTTCAGTAAAAGTGAACTGTAATTTCAAAAGTTTACTGAGTTTGTCTACCTCTCAATACGTTTCCGGAAAATAGAACGCCATGGCTCTATATTACAGGTTTTAAGGGATGTACAGCATAATTGCGACGGACCTGGGTTTTTAGAATTTTTTCCTGTCTTTTTGGGTTCATAGAAAAAATGGACGATTTTTCTGTCAAGTAAAAAAGTTTTACGATGAGAGTGTTCATAAAAAATACTATTTTCACAGAAAAATTAGATAATTAAATTGCTTCCACAAGCATATAGAACACATCTATCAAATGTTCGGTAGATCCATGCTGGTTCTTATCCACACACCAAAAACTCAAGATTTTTTATTGAAATTGTCAGTTGAGATCTTTCTTTGGCTAGTTCATAACGGAATCTTCAAGGTGATACTTTCAAAATTTAACACATTGTCTGAAATTTCGACTCAGAGTTTTATGAGGTTTTCAAGAAGTTGTCATAACAAATTTTTTAACACATCCACAAAGTTCTTCTCCTCATTTTCCTCCTCTCCGTGTGTCAAAAATATGTGTCTACTTCTTCTCATTTGGTCATCAGTTTTGCATGTCTCAATAGACACTTCGGGAAGATGTACATACACTCTTTTCTATATATAATTGCCCATACTAGCAGTATTTTCTCTTCTTTTCCTCGCCATCCCTACAACATCTCCTTGACCTCGAAAAACTTCTCATTCTCCAGAAAGGAAATGATCAAACCTTCCCGATTTGGAAAATTTTCTTTGCTCTCTTCCATCCCATGTTTACATTTCCTACAGTTCTTCTCTTTTCTCTATCTCTGTTTTTTGCTCATTCGGTCTCTTTTTGTCGTCTCACTGGCTTCCCTTTTCTTCTCCACTCATATCATGTTTCTTATTTCCCTTTTAGCGGTGGGTAGTTTTCCGGTGGTGCCAATCATCGAAAATCCCCAGATTTTTTAAAATCAAAAATGTAGTAGAGTCGATTGGCCAGGTTATTGTTTTCCATATACCGATTTCAAATAACAAAAAAAAATCCAGCAAATGCTAGGAATATTAGTTCTTGAAACAGAAAAAAAACTATAAAGCCTGTATTAGAAGGGCACACTAAACTTTATCCAGTTTATCTTAATTCCCCTGTGAGATATCAAAAATTGGTCAACTAATAAAACGTTTAGCATAATGGGAAATCTACTTTGTCAGTTCATCACTTTTTGATACCTTTTACAGAACTCAGAAAAATTTGGCTTGACGGTCAGGATGGAACTGTATTTGGGACTTTACGGTATATGACTTTATTTTTTCTGTTTCGAATAAATGTTATCTTTGGAGTGACAATGTAATCAATATTAGGGTAAACAAAGTTTCATTTTAATTATTTCATGAACGGAAACTAGAAGAGCAATATTGTCTTCGGCTTTAGATACCGTAAACACTCTAATAGAAGGCCGCCCTAAACTTGCAATTTGAGCTCTATTATCTCGGGTCATGTGAAAGATATCAAGAATTGTCAAATGATAAAATTTTGGTGATATTACGATAAATAATTTATTAGTTGACAAAATTTTGATAACTTTAACCGAAATCGTGATAATTGAGCTCAAATTCGAAGGTTTGGGTGGGCTTCTACATATTAGAGGAATTGACATTTTTCTGTTTCGGATCTACCGTGTCCTAGGAGTAATAACGTAACTATTATTGAAAAGAATAAACCCATAGCCCCTGTAATAGTATTTTCAATACGGTAGAACGAATTTTCAAAAAAAATTACTCTTGCCACCGTAAAACCTGTAAGAGAAGGGCCCTCTATATCTTAACTATGAAGACTTTAATTTATCTCGGTTCCCGAAGGATACCAGAAGTTTGTTAACTGATAAAATTTTTTGAAATTACGATACATATTTTATCAGTCGACAAATTTTTGATATCTTTCGAAGGAACCGAGATAAATTGACTCAAAATTGACTAATTGGGTGGGTTAATTCATTAGAGAAATTGGTTAGAGGAAATTCTGTGGTTTTATACACATTTTTCTGTTTCAACTATAGGTCATCTTTGAAGCAATTTTACAACTAATATTGTTGCAATACAATTCGTAGACCTTGCAATCATACAGTGGCGAGAAGTGGCGAGGAGAATTTTTTCGAACATTCATAACTTTGTTAAAAATTGCTTAATCGAATTGAAATTTTGCATGAGAATAGCTGTGAAATCCAAAAACATGAAAATCGGTTTTTTGAAAAATTCTCACTTCCAGAATTTTCAGAGCAGTTTCAGATGTAACAGTGGTTCGAGGATCCAAAAAAAAAACTTTTTTCCAGAATTTTTTTGGCTTC